ACTTATGAATTATGAAACTCTATGCACTATTCATAACTGAACAAGTTAGAGTTTCAGGATTTTATCTATCTTTTACAAATCTAGAATTTACCTCTAGAAGTTAAAATCCATCGAAATTAAGTTAAAAATAAAGTGAAAATGTTGAGATTTTCAGTACAATAAATTCAAGAATATTAAACCTTTGAAGATCTTACGGAGAAATGAGTCGTCGCTTTTTTAGTAAAAGTACCACTGAAATCATTTGTTTTGCCTTTATAAGTCGGTTAGTTAGAGTTTAGAGTACCTACTTTACGGTTTACAACCTAATTTACAACTAGATCCCACGTTAGTCATTTTGAAAATTATGAGTAGGTTACTGGATATACGACGTGATGGCTCGTTTAATTTTAGATGCACCATTGCAAATCAGCCAAAACTACGATGTGTTTCTTCTCTAGCAATAAAATAGAGAACGACTGTTAAAAGGTCAATGATGAAAATGAGAATTAGTTTTTGACTTTAGGGAAAAATTTATGCCTCTCAAAAGATAATGTAGAGTCCTTCCTCTAAGTAATAAATCGAAACGTTTCTTTTTAAGCGTTAACAAAAATGAGAATTCTTGAGAATTTAAAACGCTACATCGATTTTGATCATTCTTTACCAGATCTAGGATCCACACTATTTATAAATCTTTCTTAAAATAGATGGAAAGTAAATCATCCGCAAACCGCATTTAATTAAATCTATGTAATGTTCCAATCGAGTAAAAAATTCGCATTTGCGAGTTTTGGCTATTTAATTGATTGCGCGCACAAGATTACAATTAATCAAATAGCTATTGGTAATTGGTTTTTCTCAAACCATCTGTTTATCTACAAGTGTCTAGTTTAGTTAGTTGGCCGATCGTTTCGGAATGCTGTGTTGTCTCTCATAACAGCAGAGCGTTACTTCAATATATCATCGATCTGATAAGTGTTTTTGGCGGAGGTGTTTATTATTTTTTCGCAATTAGACGGCGTTACGATTCGTAGAACGGGCTTGTTAACTGTTTTATAAAATAGATTTTGGTGAGATCTTGTTAGTGTATCTATGTGAGATTAGAGTGATTTGAAAAGTCCTTTTTCATGAAATTCGATCAGCATACATTACGCTTTATTTTTTTTTATGATAGCGCAACATTAATACACAGCAGGAAACTACTGGAAAATGAAAGCACTCATCGACAAATGCACATAAGTCACTAATTACAGACGTCACTCAGACACATGCGATGTTAAGCACCTCAGAACAACCCCGAGTACAGCAACCAGAGGCTGGCCAGCAGCAGGACCAGGATCATGTAGGTGGCGATGAGGTTGGTGGTCTCGTGGTTCGGCATGGCTGGCGGCTGGTCAACACGCGCTCTGGACAGCTGGCTCCAGCGGACTGAGGACCCGAGCGGCGCCTACGCACGCCACGCCTTCCATGATTCGGTTTATAAATATGAGCGCGTTAATAGCTTGTCGTTACCATGACAGGTGTCATCGCGATGCCGTTTATGTCCGAGTGACGTATTGAAGTGTTTTTGTAAAAGTCTAATTACCTATTGGTGCATGATTTAGAAATCCCTAAAAGTTTACTGTGGTCGCGAACTGCCTTTGGGTTGTGATTTTTGGGGTCTACATCAACTAAGTTCCCAACATTTATGGTGATCATACTGTGAGACACAGCTTGATTCCGTAATTTCATTTTCAAAGTTTAAGTTTTATTTTTATTTTTTTATCCACAACGAGGCTCTTGGCCAGACCAGGTGAGATACAGGTAAGTGACGATCAAGCCGAAGGTGGAAGCGAGCTGGCTAGCTACCACAATCTTATCCAAGTCTGTGTTCCTCTGTGGTTGAGGATTCCGAATGAAGTTTTATTTTGTTTCTAAATGTGTGAAAAACTTTCAAAAGTCTCATCGATCCTACCTAACTGAACTTGTTTTGGTGTTAAATTATGGTGAATGGATTAATTTCCCATACAATTCAGGAATTAACTTGATTGGAAAACATTTCCAGCACTACTTGGCATTATTTTTTCAGTATTTTGGCCCGAAGTTTTCACATCAATCAACTAGATTTGCTAAAATTACTGATTTATCTTGCCCGTTACATTTACTATCGTGCCATGTCATCCGTAATTTTGCATTAATTAATGTCATTGTTTTATCAATGGGACGATTATTTATTATGAAATGAATTGAACAATCGCGAAAAGAATAAGACCTATCTCCGAAATGACTCATTACATATCGGTGCCTCGTATCTATTGAGCTGATTGAGGTATAAGTTAGACGACAATTATTGCCAATCATTAAGTTTGACACTATTTAAATGCCCTTCATTTGTTTAAATGTTTAAATAGTTATTTAGAAAAATAATTATTGTTACAGAATTGCTCTAAACCATGATACACGAAGAAGAAGAATCACAGGTGTTAGATTTAAAAATTGTATTAAGTAGTTTACAATTCATGTGCTTTTTCAGCTTTTTCAGCATCCTTCTTATGAATATTTGGGCAGAGAAGGAAAGAAAATGCACGTGTGCGTTGAAAAAAAAAACGTTCACAAAATCAAGAAGTTCATCATTGAGTTAGTTAAAAGGTTCGGACAAACCAACGCGTGCAGCGATGGCGATGGCGATGGCGACCACTGCGCGTGCAAAAGTTGTTTCACACTGCCGCGACCGCGATGGCGATCACTGCGCGTGCAGATTGTCACTGTCACCACAACTGTCACGCATATTGTCACTTTCGCTTATTGTCAATCACGCCTATTCGGCAAAATGGAAACTGAATTAAATGATTTGTTTGAAGCTAGCTTTTGATGCAATTGAGACAGTGGAAACACTTTTTCACTCAAGTTTATTCAGGCGGCCATATATTAATGAGACAGGATTACATGCGGTATAGGTAGTAGGTATTGGTTACTCATAACCAAGCTATATTTCTGGCTTCGTTTGTAGTCCCTAGAGCCCTAACAATACCTTTTAATTAAATTTAAAGAAAGGTTTGATAGGAAGGAGGACTGCACTAAGGCTTTCTTGGCCTCAGTGGGGGGAAATGAAACACAACGCGGACGGCTGATATCTGGTTTATTACTGTTATGCTATTGCTATATACAAGATTTACATAATGTACACAATTCAATGTGTCCAGTCCAATGTGCCGTCGGTGTAGAGTGCCTACGGTACACGTTCGTTCAGGGTTCATGGGCCAGTCGGCTAGCATGTTGTAGGTCGCGGTCGATGCTGACTTGCTCGTACAGTATCCTTGTGGGANAAAACTTTTTAACAGATCCTACTTACTATTTATTACATCGATTTTAAAAAACAGAAACGTCACAGTGACGAATGTCACGATGATCGCTGATCGCTGCGTGCAGACGCTGCATAGATCGCCGCGACCAATGACAGGACGCGTTGATGTGAACACATCGCTACAAATTCATACACGCTGTCTGGTCGCCATCGCCATCGTCATCGTGCACGCCGGCTGCACGCGTTGGTCTGGTCTAACCTTTAGGCCAGCTTTTTAAAAAAGTTTGAATCATGTTCATTGTTCATGGTCTTTTTCTTTATCATGTTTGCCTTCCTAGAAAAGTGTCGATATCCACTTTGAGATAAGTAGTTCTTTATACAATTTTAAACACTGCTGCGATGTAGGCTGCTGCCTACATAACCCACCTATTGTAATCAAAGAAGCTCTTTGATTAAAAGTCTACGGTTGTACATCTATGGGCGAATGTGTTTAAAGACACAACCTAAGTTTCTACAATAGAATGAAGAGCTTATTTCTATAGGATATCTACGATAAGGATTGAAGAGTAGGTGACTTTTGAACTTCAATCACAATGCAATGCTCCTGAATATTCATATTGAGCAGCATTGAGAAGACATAAAGCAGAAGAAAATCCCGCCCTAAATGGGAGCCTAAACAAGCCACAACATCGAACTTACAATCAGAAGACTGCCGAGTACAGTAACCATAGGAAAAACAGCAGGATCACGAGGATCATGTACGTGGCGGCCAGGTTGACGGTCTCCGCGTTGATCGGCATGGCGGCGGCGCGCAGGACTGATGGCGGAGGATCCCGCGCCGAACAGAACGCTTGCGTCAGCGCACAGGGACCTACTCACTGGAGAACTTGCCTGGAATTTTGCTTGAGAATTTTATTGGAATTCCAGGTTTTGAAAAATGCAGGTGAATGTGATGCTAATAAGGAAATTCAGAATTGGATTTGAACCGAAATGGCAAACGAAAGGTTTGATAGAACATTGGGTGTTACCTGCTGTGCTGTTCCAATGTGATTGTTATTTTGTGTGGCCTACATAAAATAATTCTCAAGTCAGACACACACGAAGGATTCCGTACAAGATCGAAGCTTACGAGATCGCAATTAGTAAAATTTAAACAAGCTTCTTGATTATTGATCCATAAATTAATTCCATGCTTCATGATACTGTTGCTGCATTACCTATATTAGAAGACGGACGCATAGTAGAGGCTTTGCTATAGGGACCCGTTGTAATCTTTGGGTAAAGAACATTAAACTACAAGTGGTAATCATCATCATCATTAAACTGTTGTCAGCCCGTAGGACGTCTTCTGCTAAACATAGATCCTAGACTTCCAGAGTGACCGGTCAATCAAGTCACCTTGATCACAAATAAAACTAGAAATCCACGAAGCCATGGTGATTAAACATATCGGTATGTTAACGTATCTATTTTCTAAATAAATTATACGAGTCTTTATGTCATATCGTCAAAGCAAAATATAATTTCGGAAACGACCCGACAAAGACAATAATCACAGTTTCTAGAGACAAAATTATTTTGATCTCTCGTAGGAGGATGCTCGTAAATCCGCCGCTCTACGCAGTGCCGGTTGGAACGGAAATATTTGCATGACTTTTTAAAACTTTTGCATTTTTGAATCATAAATATTCAATTTCAATTTTCCAGATGAAAGAACATCATAAATCAAAAATAAACTCACATTTCTAAAATGCTGAATACAGCAACCACAGTGAGACCAGCAGGAGCAGTAGGATGCAGTAGGTGGCCACCAGGTTAGTGCCTTCCGAAGTCATCTTGGAGCAGTCGCCGACGCGTGTTCACAACCGAGTAGCAACTGAGACGGGCGAGGATAACAAAGCTTGATATACACTGTCCCGAAAACTCCCGAATCACCGTGAAGTTCCTCAGTTCGTGACGCCCGTGATTAATTGTTGCGCGACTCTCGGGTGGCAGTACGTTTTCGGTTATTTACAATTTTCCTATTATTGCCAAGACTCTGAAATGAGTGGGCTCGTCTATGATGTGTAAGATTTTATTTTTACGTTTCTTCAGAAAAATGCGGGGTTAAAATAACGGAAGCTAAAGTTCGATGTCACTAATTTAGTTTTATGTTTGTCTGCCTGCGAACATCTGGATCTGCTACTCTCAAAAACTATTGTAGAGACAAAATAAATATTACTGCTTAAACTCCTATAATTGGATTCACTATGAGAGATAGAAGGAGATTGATTAAATTCATAATATGGTAGTTTCAACCTAAATAGGCATTTACTTGGTTTATTTTTATATTATGATGAANGGTGGTATTGGTGAATAAAAAGCCGAGAAGAAGCAGTAGGTACTTGATATTAAAAATTCACAAGCATTGAAAATTTTGGGAAACAATGTGCGCTCTGGAATTCTCCAGCGGATTTTTCTACACGGCCGAGTGCGTCTCTGGATTCGATTCACATTTTTGGAGTTATGATAACCTGTGCTATTTCCGGCTGAAGTGCTACGGCAATTGGAGTATGAGGCTCCAAGCGATACATTTAGCGCTGGAGCTTTGCAATGTTTCGGACTGAAATACCCGCGTTCCAACGTCGTTAATATTATGTTATAAATAAATATTGATGATTGGAATTACATACACCACTGTGCCTAAATCATATAGCGAAGCCTCTAGTAAATATTGTATTGTGGTCACGGGTAACTGTTAACCACGTGTTTTTCACAATATTTTCATTCAAGTTCCGAATTGCCGTACTAGATGTAAAATTGTAGAGTCGAGTACTATTATAGCCAAAAAGTAAAACACTGCTGAAAGAATATAGAGAAAGAGATACGTAGGTATAAAAATAATGATACGTGAAAATGTCCAGGTAGGTACAGGTGAGTCTTAGTAAAAATCAATTAATATAGAACAAACTTAATAAATAAGTAAATACATATATCTATTAAATTCAAGTAGGTAATCTACAAAATGGATTTGTTAGTCTATTCCATTAAGTTATTAAGGTATTGTAAATCGTATCCACGTGGTCAAATTACATTGTATTTTTTGTTTAAAAGACTTACAACATGATTATTCACGGTAAAATACCTATGTCATTAGTGTATGTTTTATACAGTGTGAGTCACGTTAAAGTGTACATATGAAAATAGATGAAACTAGACCTATTTTTATCGACAAAAAAAAAGGTTAAAATTTTTTTGAGATTTTTTTAAAAAAAATTATAGAATTTTTTTTCTTCGAATTACTTATTGTAAAGAAAACGTAATAACTTTTAAACTAAGCAGTATATCCTGATAAAATAAAAACAGTAATAATGCTAAATAACAGGCAATACTAAAAAAATACATGAAATACACAAAAAAGGCCAACAAATAATAAAAAATGAAACTTTTTGAAAAAAATCTGCTTTTAAATTCATGTTTTTTTGGTTATTTGATCAATTTCTCCAAAATATGCCCCTATAACCGGTGGTTTTTATTACGTTGTATTATTTTCTATCGTATTACCTTCGTAAAACCAAAAATCGCATGTCTCTATCCCTATCACAAAGTTTGCAATGATCGTTTGAACTAAGCCTCTCCGGGCGCGCCATTCAATGCTTCATTAACAACGAAACTGAAAATGGCTCTAGATTTGTAATTTTGATAAAGACAAGTTAGATTTCAAATAAAAACAAAAAATTTTGAAGTAAAATAAGATTTTTTTTAAAAATTAAAATTGTCTCTACCTGTAGCGGAGAATAATGTTGTGGCAGGCCTTTGTTCAAACGATCATTGCAAACGTTGTGATAGGGATAGAGACATGCGATTTTTGGTTTTATGAAGGTAATACGATAGAAAATAATACAACGTAATAAAAACCACCGGTTATAGGGGCATTTTTTGGAGAAATTTATCAAATAACCAAAAAAACACGAATTTTAAAGCAGATTTTTTTCAAAAAGTATCATTTTTTATTATTTGTTGGCCTTTTTTGTGTATTTTATGTATTTTTTTAGTATTGCCTGTTATTTAGCATTATTACTGTTTTTATTTTATCAGGATATACCGCTTAGTTTAAAAGTTATTACGTATTCTTTACAATAAGTAATTCGAAGAAAAAAAATTCTATAAAAAATTAAAAGAAAATCTCAAAAATTTTTTGACCTCTTTTTTGTCGATAAAAATAGGTCTAGTTTCATCTATTTTCATATGTACACTTTAACGTGACTCACACTGTATTCGTGAATATAAACAGTTGAGGGCAACAACATGCGGTCCTACACAAAGAAACGCTTTGGTTGACATTTTAGGAATTTTATTTACCACTTTATGAGAAAAACAAAAAGCTTTTGATTTTGTTTTGCACCTAATATACCACCTATCACTAGACAAATACCTACCTACAAAAGAAAATGGTAGGACGAGTATAATTTGGTGTGTACCTAATAAAAAACAGGTTGACTTGCTTACTTGAATGGTTAGTTTAGCCTGAAGAAAAGATAATATTTTATGATAAATTTGACTTGATGTAACTATTTAGCCAGTGACCCAGACCATGAGCGATAAACCTTTTGTTTATTTTATTTTCCATCTGCCCTATTTCAAACTAATAGTTCAACACAAGTCTGGCACACGTAGGAAATTATCATCATTAGTCAAGAGGCTATTATACTGCAACGGCATCGTAAAATAGAGATCAAACGTAGTTTTAATTCTCCGTCGGATACATCAAAGTGGATCCCACGCGTTGTTCAATCACAAATCTTACTGCCTCTGTTGCAAAAACTAGTTAAAGTTACATGAAGGCTGGTTCATTGCTAAAATCTGACCGGAAGCTTTAGAAAACTGTAAATTCACACATGTTGTAGTCTCNTATTATGTCGCTACGCGCTCGCTGGAATTATTCCAATGAATTCTTTTGAGTTCAAAACACTCTATTTTATGTGGTGGGATGAAAACAAATACTGTATACAGGTAAATAATTATACAGGGTGTTAGGTATCGGACCGTATCGTACCGTAAATTGGATTTTATAAANGTAGTCTCTACTAATTGAAATACAATAATACTTATTACCTACTACTCCTGAGATTTTCCGAGTCCATGATGAAGAGAAGAAAAAAAAAGTTTATTCTAAACCAAATGATAGATAAAAAGAAATAAAATTCTTATTAATTATTAATGCCAATTAAAAAAAATGCGACAAACGGCCCAAATGCTGCGATGACCGATGCCCACTCGAGCGAGAGTCGGTAAGTAGTTCGAACCCCGTCGCGTCCGCTGGGCTATTATGGTGAACCAACTCCTAACACAAGCTTTAGCTTGGAGTGGTTAACGAGATTTTTATTAATTAGTTACTACCTAATAGAGGTACCAAAATGATCTCTGCTCAAGTGCTCAGTTTGAATTTTTTCATTCCTTTTTCAGACAAAAAGTAGAGACACCATGCTATGCCATCCAGGTCGCTGGACAATATTTCACTGCTCATTAGTCATAATGGGTAACGTTACTCTAAAAATGTCCACGAAGCTGAGCTTCGGAAGCTCACTGCCGCACTTTACTCGCACTTATTTTTGAAGTTATAAAATGTATTTTGTATGAAAATTAAAATAATTAAAATGATGATATCAAATTTCTGACTTCACCATACCATTTATATGACCATTTTAACATGGGCTAGTGTCGGCTCATATACCCATTTACCTAACACCCTGTATATAAGTACTATCTAGGGTTTTGGGACAACCGTCAATCACACCCCACCGTGTCATATTTTACAAGCTAGTCGCACGGCTCGGGTCAAAGAATACATACTCCAAGAGTCTTTCTCTGGCACGGGTCTCTCTCTCAGTTAAGCCAGGTTCGAACCTTTGAACCATTGCCTACCGCCGGATTCTGTGCCTACCGCACACACATTTTAATACAGGTCTGTTTATCATACGACCAGTAGACCCATAGAAATAGGAACCACTCACAGCTTGTGCTTGTAAGTTTCAAAACGGCTTTTAGCAATTTTTAAACGCCTGATGCTTTATGAACAATACTCTCTCTAAAGCTGCATTGCTATGATACTTTACGTAGGCTTTCGTTTGCGAACAAAGTAGCGCATCCGCATACCGAACTCAAATTATTATGCTGAAAGAAAACGTTCAGTTCAGTATTTAAATATGTGATAATTATCAATTTTTCTCATGAATAAATTATAGCTTACTTAATTTTATTTAATGAACACCGATTATAAACGAATTATAAAAAACGATACGATACCTTACGATACGGCCAAAACTGAGGGTGAGTTCTCGATTTAATTTGACATTGACACTTTGTTGACTGACTTGACACTTGACGTATCCAGAAGTTAGGTTATCAATATTTTGTTTGTCTTTCCAATTTTCAGAAAATTACTCATAGATTTTACGTGGATGATGTGATTATAGTGCGCTTATGCAACTTGATGGGAGAACGAACACTGAGACCTGAAGAGATGGCTACAACCAGCACGGCGGTTTCAACCGTCGCACCCCCACTACAAGAGGTAAGTGAAACAGAAATTATTGTTATTTACATAGGCGGTTTGTTCATATAGCAGCAGTTATCTTACTCTTTTGATAACTGCCAACCGCCTAAGGCTTAATTTATGTAGTATTCGTGCGTGGTGTACGAGATCACAATGTTAACGTTTAAGTTGTCTAGTGTTTTAAAAACGCAATTAAGTAAGGCGCATTACTCGACTAAAGTGTCGGGTCAGCTTAGTGACATCAATGTTCTGGATTTGACGCGCATAATCGCCGGCCCTTTTTGCACTATGGCCTTGGGAGACCTCGGTGCCAATGTGATCAAAGTTGAGAGTTTTGAAGGGGATGAAGCCAGGAAGTGGGGACCACCCTTTATTGGCAAAAAAGACTCTGTATATTACATGAGTGTGAACAGAAACAAGAAGAGCATCTGCATTGATTTTAAGTCTCAGGAAGGTGAGTTTCTTAGGAAGGTGAGTTTCTTTCTGTTTTTTAATATTTTTGTTGCTTTTTTATTTTCTGTATTAAGTTTTTATTTGCCCTACCCTCTGACCATAATATTTAACTACAAATCAAAATTTTTAATTTATGTGTAACATTATAATTTCTGTCCCAGAATTTCTACTAATTATCTGCATAGTGCATAATTTATATTTCATAGTTTTATGTGTAAATGGTATAATCATGTTCTATCACAGTACAAATCTTTTGATATCTTCATTATTATTAAATATAACATAAAAAGAACTTTGGTGTTTGTAACGTCTTTTAAACTTCAAAAAAGAAAAATTAAAAATTCTGCATTGAATTATCAAATACTTACAAAATATGTATCTTTATCGTAATGTCTGATCAAAATTATTTCAGGGAAAAAAGTGATGTATGATCTAACCAGGAAATGTGACGTGTTAGTAGAAAACTTCATACCCGGTAAACTGGACCAAATGGACGTTGGCTACGAGAAGCTGAAACAAATCAACCCCAGGCTGATATACTGTGCCATCACAGGGTTCGGGCCCACTGGTCCTTATGCAAGCAAACCTGGGTAGGTATTTTACAGACATTCCAGTTGGGAAAAACTGCAGAAGTAAACAGTACAATACTGCAGAAGCAATATTCAGTTACTAGTTTCCAAAATTGTTCAAAATCTTTTTCAGGTATGATGTCATAGCCTCTGCAATGGGTGGGCTAGTCAATGTCACTGGGGAAAAAGATGGAAACCCAGTCAAACCTGGAGTAGCCATGACGGATGTGACCACTGGCCTCCACGCCTACGGCGCCATCATGACCGCGCTCTACTACCGGCAGAAGACCAACCGCGGGCAGAAGATAGACTGCAACCTGCTATCTACACAGATAGCTAGCATGATCAACGTCGCCACCATATACCTCAACTGCGGTATCGAAGGCCAGAGGTGGGGTACGGCACACGCCAACCTAGTCCCCTACCAAGCGTTCAATACCAAAGATGGACAGATGGTTATTGGCACAGGCTCCAACGCACAGTTTGCTGACTTCTGCAAACTCATCAACAAAGAAGAGTTGATTGACGATGAACGCTTCACAGACAACTCATTGCGAGTAACGAATAGAGAAGTCCTAATTCAAATTATAAGCAATGTCATAAAGACGAAAACTAGTAAAGAGTGGTCGAAAATTTTCAGTAAAGCTACGTTTCCTAATGGGCCTGTGAATAAGATGAAAGATGTTTTCGAAGATGAACACGTGAAAGCGATAGGGCTGGTCAAGGAGCTGCCTCATCCTGACGCGGGAACGATCAAGTTGGTGGGACCTTCGACTGTTTACAGCGAAGGGGGCAACTACGTGAGGACCGCGCCGCCCTCGTTAGGGCAACACACTAGAGATGTCCTAAAGAACTTCCTAGGGTACCATGATAGTGAAATCGATGGGCTGTTTGAAAATAAGGTTGTTCGGTAATGGTCCAAGTAAATAGTTTTTCAAATTGTTTACAATATATTTAAGTTTTCCTACTATTGGTATTGATAGTGTGTAAGTTTATTCATAAACAAAGTACAAAGATAGAATAAAATTAAAAATAATTTTTAGTACCATTTAAATCGCCAGTTCTTGCAATTTTTATTATTGTTTTAAGACATAAATTATTTATTTTATGGACAATTTATCTAGTATAACTACTTTTAATTTATTAAATGTAAATATGAATGGTTTTGTTGTTTCTATTTAATTCCTTTAAGAGCACTTGATACTGTGGTGATGCAAGTTTTTTTGTAACACAGATAAGAAGACACTGTAAGTAAATTGTACTGAAGATTTGACTGTAATATTAATGTTATCTTATCTAATACTTATGATACAAACAACTGCTGGTTATGTGACTATTCCTACTTATTTGCCATAGACTTTGATTGCGTGGTCTCACGCACTTTCTTATTTCGAATTTTATTTATTTGTTTAAAATCTTTATTGCACACACATAATAAATATTGGTACAGCAGGCGAGCTTAGTGCCATGTGGCATTCTCAATTTTACTAATTTTATCGACAATATTATCATAAAGTATTCATTTTAATTTAATGTATGAAGTTCTAATACGCCATTAGCGATGGTGTGAAAATGAATTTCAGATACCCCTTAGTGGTTACGGTTTGATGTAGTTATGAGAACTGCACAAGCTATTATCGCTGTTAGAACAAGGCCACAAGGTCTAAAATGGCGTGTGTCCCCAGCAGTGTATGAAAATGAATTTTAGATACCCCTTGATTAAGATTTGATATGTAGGTATGAAAACTATAAGCTATTATCGCTGTTAGAACGAGGGTATAAGGTCTAAAATGGAGTGTATCCCCAGCAGTGTATGAAAATGAATTTTAGATACCCCTTGATTAAGATTTGATATGTAGGTATGAAAACTATAAGCTATTATCGCTGTTAGAACAAGGGCATAAGGTCTAAAATGGAGTGTGTCCCCAGCAGTGTATGAAAATGAATTTTAGATAGATACCCCTTGATAAGGATTTGATATGTAGGTATGAAAACTATAAGCTATTATCGCTGTTAGAACAAGGCCATAAGGTCTAAAATGGCGTGTGTCCCCACAAGTGTATGAAAATGTATTTTAGATACCCCTTGATTAAGATTTGATATGTAGGTATGAAAACTATAAGCTATTATCGCTGTTAGAACAAGGCCATAAGGTCTAAAAGGGCGTGTGTCCCCAACAGTGTATGAAAATGAATTTTAGATACCCCTTGATTAAGATTTGATATGTAGGTATGAAAACTATAAGCTATTATAGCTGTTAGAACAAGGCCACAAGGTCTAAAATGGCGTGTGTGCCCAGCAGTGTGTGATAATGAACTTTAGATACAGCTTGAAAGATTTGATATGTAGGTATGAAAACTATAAGCTATTATCGCTGTTAGAACAAGGCCATAAGGTTTAAAATGGAGTGTGTCCCCAGCAAGAGGCGGGACAGGGCGTGGCGGTGATCACGCTGCGGCCGGCGCGCGCGCAGCCACGCAAGAAGGTGGTGTGGACGGAGGACACCGTCGACAATGAGCACATGAACAAGAAGAAGTCCAAGTGTGAGTCGAGACGCTGATTTTTTTTTGGTTTCTCCTGTAGACCTAGGATGCGCGCCGCGATAAGCGTTTATCGCGCCATTTTATCGATTTTACGCGATTGGGCCTATACATTAGTTGTCTAAAACCATCGATAAGATTTTATCACGGCGCGAATCCTAGCCTGTCAGGACTGAAATTTTGTCCATTGGCCGAATACTTGTAATAGTCGAACCACTGTCACAGATAAGGTTGCCATCCGTCCGGGTTTTCCCGGATTTGTCTAGTTTAGAAGGCGTCCGATGAGCTGTTGACATGTCCGGATTATGAGCCACAAAATCCTGGATTTCACGCAGTCTAATCCTGGTTACCAAAATTAAAGATCGAGATTGCTAAAAAATAATACCTTTATGCTCCTTTGCGATTTTCACGATTATTTTATTGCTAATTTTCATATTGTGTGTATAATAGATTACAATGAAACCTAAAACATGGTGGCAATATGTAAATGACTTTGTTACGGAATTTATCATCATTGGTGGAACGCACAGATGTGTTTCGCATACAATAGAAAGAAATACTTAAACAATCATAAACAATTGCAAAAATTATGAATTCTAAGGTAGTTCAATAATCTTTATTTGATGTCAATTTGCTTGCAACAAAACCTACAAGGACGTAAATGACGTATACGTGGGTGGATTCATCCACTAGAAACAATATTTTTTACAGCCTGTAAATTACTTTACAAATATTGTTCTATGATTTTCCAGGTTGCTGCATATACGAGAAGCCGCGTCGCTTCGGGGAGTCGGACTCTGAAGACAGCGACGACGAGTGCGAGCACTGCTTCGGCCACGTGGAGAAGCGCCACGCGAAGCATCAGCAGCACGCACAAGCCACCGCCACCACCACCACCACAACCACAGACACGCAGGTAACATGTCGGTTCGTTTTTATCGGCCAGATGACGTCCAAAATAATTGGAAATCATTGGAAGAGGTTCCAAGGATTTCCAATTAGGCGGGTTTTAGAATCGCGCTGACCGCTCGCTGATCGTCGGCGCTGACAGATCCATAATGTATGTAATGAGGGCTATCGTTTTTATACTTAACAGTTGGCACCCCTGGCGATTGACAGGACCTTACTCTACAGTGGCGCCATCTTGATGAGTGCAAATGCGACAGTCCTCCTACCACTTTAGCGCTCACCAGTTGGTGCCACTGTCTTCGCGACTAGCAAGTGACAGGACCTTACTCTACAGTGGCGCTAACTGGTAAGCGCTAAAACGATAGCCCTCATTGAAGGGAACGTTCCTGAGTGACGCTGATCGCTCGGCGCCGACGCTTCATACATTTCGGCTGTCAGCGCTGACGGTCAGTGTGCATCAGCGTGACTCTAAAACCAGCCTTATTGCTTGCCTGGTGTATAGTTTAGTTCGTGACAAACTATTTATGAGGTGTTAAAATACTGAGGATTTAATTAGGCATGAAGACTCGTGTACCTGTGCTCGCTTACAATATTCAATAATTTATTGCAAGACTATAAATTACATAGTACTATTTACGAGTTATAATAAGAACTAAAACTCCTTTATTTTTGCAAATAGGCTTTTAAAAAGCAATTTTACACGTCCCAGTATTAACCCTACGACTGCTTCGGGACAATAAATGGGCCAGTGCTGAGAAGAAGCAGCGCAAGAAACTCAATATGCATAATGGCGCAATTTCACTAGTCGATAGGGTCCGCATGCGGCGTGCGGGAGATTTCTGGAACGCGTGCCACAGGGCCAATCTAACAAGCACACGTATGAAATATTTGACTCAAGACCCGCAAGCAAGCTGTATATCGTTGGTCGATAGCACGATGAATTTCATTGGTCGATAGCACGGTCGGTATAATGCATGCGGGGAATCCCCGCAGGCATTGTACCGAACGCGTATCGACTTGCAACTTTCATTGGTCGTTATCTCGCATGCGGGGAGTCGGAAAATGCGTCATAATGTATAGATGACCCACGCTGAACTGTCCCACCAAACTCAATGACAGGGGGGCGCTACCATCGTTCAACTAAATGATTTCCAACATGGCAAAAATCGGAACCAGCGATTCGGTATTGACGGTGGCGCCTAGGGCATGGATACCGGTATACCGGTATACCGAAATACCGGTATACCGGTCAAAATTTTCGGTATTTTGATACCGGTATTTAAGGGGAAAATACCGGTATTTCGGTTTTTCGAAAAAAGTGATCTAATTTTGCAATATCGGCAGTTTTTCAACTAATGGAAAGTCATTGATAGGTTTTACACCATCTCTTTTTATTTTTATACTTATTTTTAATATTGATTCAGATGATAATGATTCGAATCATCATATCGATTCCAATAATTGATTGAGTCAAGTCAGTTCTGCTGATATCATTGAAGCGAGCACGAGCATCTTAATAAGCACGAAAATATACGTATTAATTAATGACCCTCTCTACGTCCAATGGCTCGTCACCACACGGCTCCCAAATCTGAAAAGGGCCGTCTTAACCAGCGTATCCCTGTCAAGCCACACGAGTTGGATTTGCCTATCCTTGTTCCCAGCCGATCCTTAACTACCAGGACCAGGACCAGGCATAAGAATAGGCAACGCAGTCGTACAGGAGGGTGCAAGGAAGAGGGGCAGCCACAGTAGATAACACGAAAATCGTTCAAGAGAGAGCAAGGAATAGGCGCAGTAACCGTAGTAAAGGAACGGCTGGGATGAATAAGGATAGGCGAATCCAACTCGCGAGGCTTGACAGGAATACGCTGGTTAAGGTGGCCCTTTTCAAGGCTTGGGATCCAGCGGGTGACGAGCCATTGAACTTAGAGAGGGTCATTAATTATACGCATATTTTTTACTTTGTCGAAGATAAGCACGAAAACGGTTTGTCTAAAATATATGACTTTCGTCTTATTCAATGCAGGATTAAATGCCCTTCACCTGCCATGAAGATCAATATTCTATACTGCAAGTCCTTTATTCATACGGTATAACCATAAAACCGGAAAAATGCCCCTTTCGGGGGACCCCACCACACCTCCGTCGAAGTCGAAAACTTAGGATAGTCTTAATGAGCAACAAATGAAGCTTTTAAAACAAAATCTTTAGGAATTATTTCCGATTTGATTAATTTTCACGTCTTATTCTACTGGCCTATTAATAACTTTTCGCAAACGAGACTTACTAATCGTTCTTGGAAACATTTAAACAGTAAATAGCAGTATCTCAAGAAATACCGAAACTCCGTCGAAGTCGAAAACTTAGGATAGTCTTAATGAGCAACAAATGAAGCTATTAAAACAAAACCTTTAGGAATTATTTCCGATTTGATTAATTTTCACGTCTTATTCTACTGGCCTATTAATAACTTTTCGCAAACGAGACTTACTAATCGTTCTTGGAAACATTTAAACAGTAAATAGCAGTATCTCAAGAAATACCGAAATTTCGGTATACCGGTAATTGAAATTTCAATACCGGTATCAATACCGGTATAAAACTTATTCCGGTATTCCATGCCCTAGTGGCGCCCCACTGTCAATGTCATTGATAGGACAGTTCAGTATTTTGGAACTATACTATTACCTTAGATGTGACGTGCATTATATTAGAGTTAAATGCGAGAATCAAACTCGCGAACTCTGCCCTCGCAGTACGGTACACGACCCCGCACTACTATCAAACGGTCGTCGAATAATACGAATCGTTATTCCAGGATGGACCAGCGGAAGCGACGGCGTCGATCACGCTGAAGCCGAGCAGCCCTGAGCCTGCGCCCGCGCCGGCCCCCCGGCCCGCGCCCTAGGCTACTGACAAGTGACAACCCTCGCCCAGCGGAGATATAGTCTGGTCCGTGAGCACGTAGAATTTTGTCCAATGACCCCTAGCTACCCATCCTTATCGCTCGCGCGTAATTATGTTGCTATCGTGCTCGCACACACACTGCGGGTGCCAGTCGCACAGTCGCGACAGCAATATAATTACGCGCGAGCGATAAGGATGGGTAGCTAGGGGTCATTGGACAAAATTCTACGAGCTTACGGACCGGGCTTTACTCCGAAACGCTATCGACGTAGTTTCGAGTCTATCTGTCGCCGCCGCTCATGCTGGCATCTCGTTTGCGTGAGAGGGATGCCAACATTTGAAACTTTGGATAACGTTTTTCGGAGTAACTCCGCACTCCGTTGACAAGCCACGCCCCAATGGTACGTTAAGGAATATTCCATTTTGTACACTTAAGTAATGTTATTCCGAGGACATCCTTATCACCATTCATTGTTATAACTGCCCGGCACGTATTTCACGGATTTTATAGCAAACTAAGGCCTGGTTTCCGCCAAGACAGAGCAGAGCGGAGAAATATTTTTAATAATATTTCAGTCTGTCAATTTCAATCTGAATAAAATCAATGAGGGTTTTCGCGAATGAAAAATCCGCCAGATGGCAATACGTAGACGCGAGGTCTAAATGCTGCATGATTGGTTATTTTTGACATGACATTGACAGATATGTCAAAATCCACCAATCACGCTGCAGTCAGGCCCCACATCCACGTCCCGCCATCTAGCGGATCTTTCATTCGCGAAAACCCTCATTGGTTATTCAAAACATTTCTCTGCTCCGCTCCGCCTTGATGGAAACTAGGCATGGAAATGATTGCTATTTTTCATTCATTTTCATTTTATGAAATGATGATCTTTTTTCATACGATTTCACATGCGAAATTTCACAGGCAATGATTTTCATTCGCAGTGTTTTAATGTAGCTCTTTCATATAATGTGCTACTTTTAATTAAGTATGAATTATGATGAACGATTGCTAATTAGCTAAAATATGAAATGTAACAATATCTGTTTCATTTTATGTCGCACAACAAAAAACAACAAGTTTCACAGCACAGTACCTATGAATGCAACAATCAATAACCGCGCGACTAGTGAAAAATCATTCATTTCATCTGCCTGCCTCATAATGAAATCATACGAATCATGACAAGGAAATCTAAACCTTACACCTTTGAGTTTAAAGTTCATATTTAAAATGCCCAGTTTCGTCCGTCATCACATCTCTTGTCCTTTTCTAACACGCAAATGATCAAATCATTCCTTCTTACTCGCTCGGTCGCTTCGCAGAGCTGCGCGCACGGACTTCGCGAAAACCTCTGGGTTCGGGAGTGAAACGTTTTAATAAGAGAAAGTTAAAAAAATACTACTTTGCTACGAATTTTGAGCTTATGATAATATATATTCGTAGCAATATATATTATCATAAGATCAAAAATAAATACCAATATAAATTAAATATTTGTGTTTGGAGTCATAGTATTTTACATTATTTTCATAAGCAAAAAGTTGCGCATTCAGGGATAAGAATAGGTATGCACAAAAGCTAGCCTACCGAAACTATTTTAAGCCGCGCCGTTCCTTATCATTTTCTTTTGTTCTATACAAAATCTTTATGACTTGCACGTGCAAACTTAATAATAGACGTTTTCTTGACCTTTAAGTTCAGTAAAATGCACAACTTATGTCGGAACAAAGGGGCCGCCGCGCTCGATCTTTTGACCTTTTTTCAACAATGCACTTATTGATTTCTCAGTAATTCTAGCCTCAAAATTGAAAATAAAAGGATCCTAAAATAATGTTATCTTTTTCAAACTAAAAGAATATGCGCAAAAGCTAACCTACCAAAATTATAAGCCGCGCCGATTTTAATTATTTATGATTTTCCCTTGATCCATACAAACACTTGCCTTTAATTATACCTTCTTTATGACACTTATTATTTTTCATTAAACTTTATCAAAATAAAGATTCCACAGAGATAAATTCTACTTATTATATCAAAACACAGACGTTGTGTTGTCCGCATAGGCGTTACGTCGGCAAAACACGCTTTGCGTGTGAAGCCGCATAGGCGTTACAACGGCAAAACGCGCTTTACGTGTGAGCCCGCACTGCCGTATGGAGAATTAAGAAAACACGTAAAACGTGTGCGGCCGCACAGGCGTTGCGATCAAAAAAACACACCCGTATGTGTTTTCAGCAGTGATCGTGTTAAGCGGGTTTTAGAATCGCACTGACCGCTCGCTGATCGTCGGCGCTGACAGATCCATATGTATGTAATTGAAGGGAACGTTCCTGAGTGACGCTGATCGCTCGGCGCCGACGCTTCATACATTTCGGCGTGCGTCAGCGTGACTCTAAAACCAGCCTTATTGCTTGCCTGGTGTATAGTCTAGCTCGTGACATACTATTTATGAGGCGTTAAAATACTGAGGATTTAATTAGTCATGAAGACTCGTGTACATTATTTAATAATTTATTGCAAAACTATAAATTACATAGTACTATTTACGAGTTATAATAAGAACTAAAACTCCTTTATTTTTGCAAATAGGCTTTTTAAAAGCAATTTTACACGTCCCAGTATCAACCCTACCACTGCTTCGGGACAATAAATGGGCCAGTGCTGAGAAGAAGCAGCGCAAGAAACTCAATATGCATAAATATGGCGCAATTTCACTAGTCGATAGGGTTCGCATGCGGCGTGCGGGAGATTTCTGGAACGCGTGCCACAGGGCCAATCTAACAAGTACACGTATGAAATATTTGACTCAAGACCCGCAAGCAAGCTGTATATCGTTGGTCGATAGCACGATGAATTTCATTGGTCGATAGCACGGTCGGTATAATGCATGCGGGGAATCCCCGCAGGCATTGTACCGAACGCGTATCGACTTGCAACTTTCATTGGTCGTTATCTCGCATGCGGAGAGTCCCCGCATGCTGTATACCGAACGAGTTATAGACTAATGAAAATGCTCCATAATGTACTATTACCTTAGATGTGACGTGCATTATATGAGAGTTAAATGCGGGAATCGAACCCGCGACGTCTGCCCTCGCAGTCCGGTACACGACTCCGCACCACTTAACTACACCAAACTATTGTCAAATAATGTAAATTTATTCCAGGATGGACCAGCGGAAGCGACGGCGTCGATCACGTTGAAGCCGAGCAGCCCTGAGCCTGCGCCCGCGCCGCAAGCCCGGCCCGCGCCCTAGGCTACTCACAAGTGACAACCCACGCCCAGCGGAGCTATTAATCTGGTCCGTGAGCACGTAGAATTTTGTCCAATGACCCCAAGCTACCCATCCTTATCGCTCGCGCGTAATTATGTTGCTATCGTGCTCGTACACTCACTGCGGGTGCCAGTCGCACAGTCGCGACAGCAATATAATTACGCGCGAGCGATAAGGATGGGTAGCTAGGGGTCATTGGACAAAATTCTACGTGCTTACGGACCGGGCTTTACTCTGAAACGCTATCGACGTAGTTTCGAGTCTATCTGTCGCCGCCGCTCATGCTGGCATCTCGATTGCGTGAGAGGGATGCCAACATTTGAAACTTTGGATAACGTTTTTCGGAGTAACTCCGCACTCCGTTGACAAGCCACGCCCCAATGGTACGTTAAGGAATATTCCATTTTGTACACTTAAGTAATGTTATTCCGAGGACATCCTTATCACCATTCATTGTCATAACTGCCCGGCACGTATTTCACGGATTTTAGAAAACTAAGGCCCGGTCTCCGCCAAGGCAGAGCAGAGCAGAGCGGAGAAATGTTTTTAATAATATTTCAGTCTGTCAATTTCAATCTGAAAAAAATCTGATTCAAAACATTTCTCCGCTCCGCTCCGTCTTGATGGAAACCGTTCCTAAGTTACTGTAGCAAAGCGACTGCAACGCCAACTAATGACAGCGCGCATTTAATTACAGATGGCGTTAGTTTCCACACATTGGCGCAGTTGTGTTGCAAATGTTGCAATCTTATATTTAGGTTAGGACCTACATGAAGAATATGAATTCATTGACTTCCAAAGCGACTGGTTGCATATGGCCTGCGTGCAGCTTTTCATTAAGGCCGGCAATACACGGACCGCTTGAAGCAGTCAGGATCAGTTGCAACTGCTCGAGCGGTTCGTGTATGTGCGTCCATAGAACTCTGCAGTTCACTGTGCAGTCGCAGCTTGAAGCTGTCGAACCTGACTGCTTCAAGCGGTCCGTGTATTGCCGCTCTAAGCCGTCTGTCTAGCGTTATGACAGCGTTATGACATTGGTCAACCAATCGACACGCTTTAACAAGTTATTGTTATTCCTTGCTGAATTCAGGAGTCGAGAACAAATTCTACAAGATACTGTTGATATAATATGTGTACTGTATTATGTTGTCATTGTCCAAATAAGATAAAGAAACGTATTTGCATAGCAGCAAAAAAAATCCTATTAAAATTTGAAATTCTTTAAATAATATTTCAGATAAAATCAGTGCGTCTTGAAACACAGTCACACAGGGAATAACTATTAAAATAGTGTCCATCAATTCTCACATTTTAGCTATAATGGAAATAGCGGTCCTACATTGAAGACTATTGATTAAATTATTTATAAGATGTCTTTTAAGTTTCAATTGTCAAACTGGTAAAGGTTTCCATAACTTTATCACTTAACTGTATTTAACTATTGAAGATAAAATAGAAATTATAACAGTAAGATCGTGCTATTTATACTTATACAGGGTGTTAGGTAAATGGGTATATGAGCCGACACTAGCCCATGTTAACACGGGCATATAAATGGTATGGTGAAGTCAGAAAGGATGATGGGCATATTGGGCGTTAAACCAACAGAAACAAAAAGTGTACTAAATTAAAGCTTAATACTAGTACTTCATTTCATAGTATGACAACAATCCTGAAATACGCGGGGATACGGAGATAGAGGTCGTTGAATATGCAAAGTTTCCATAGTATTTCATATCACATTAGGGTAATAAAAATAGTATTAGGTCAATTAGATTGCTTTTATCGATCATATTGAGAGTAGGTATTCTATCATATCTTATTATCGATTCTATCGATCTAAATGGTACCTAGGTATGGACGCTTATAATGTAGAACATGGTTTAAATATACCATTTGTTGGCCTCACTCCTGAACTGTTGGACATAATAATGGATAAATAACTTAATGTATTTTAAATGTAAGTAGATAAGTATATTAATTAATATTTTTTGTTTGCGCACTAAAGCACCTATTACTATTACACATTATGTCAATTTCCAAGCAAACCCGGGAGTTTTTGGTAGTTATTTATATGAAAATACATTTCTGATATTAAAATCTAACAAATAATAGTAGTTACATTTCTGTTGGTTTTACGCCCAGATTACATAGAAAAGTGCCCATCATCCTTTGATATCATCATTTTTTTTTTTAATTTTCATACAAAATAAATTGTATAAAATCCATTTGTACGAAAATTAAAATAATTAAAATGAAGATATCAATTTTCTGACTTCACCATACCATTTATATGGCCATGTTAACATGGGCTAGTGTCGGCTCATATACCCATTTATCTAACACCCTGTACATTTAGCCCTACAAAAACATACTCTACGTAGTAAAAACCATATATTTGGAATATAAGATTCTGTAAGCAATATAAACGATTAACTATATGGCCAATAACTTACAATACTTTACTTTAGGCGTTTAGTGCTAGAACTTGTTATTTTGATCCGAACTCTTTATTTAGATAAGTTCTGTGTAAAAGAGAAGAGTGATGACCATTTTGTGGCCTTGGTTATATGATAGAGTAAATGTATTCTATATTGATAGGAAGAAAGTCAGTTATTCGTCTATCATTTGTTCCACTTTTGGCCGAAAGTTTGGCGGCATATAACACGTAAATAAAATTTAGAAATTGAAATGTTTCATGTATTTTCATTAGTAAATGTACTAAAGACAATATCCTAAGTTTTACTTATGCTTTCACGATTTTTAAGTGTGTAAATTAATTTATTTTCTTTATTTTACATTATGTGTAAGTAATTTGTAGTTAATAATTATAATTAAAAGTATCCATTTGTATAAATCTGTTTCTTTTATTTTTCTTTCTTCTTATGCACCTTTGAGTTTAACTCATTTTCATTAAAATCATGATTTTCTTTGCACAAAATTGTATAAGTTAATAAAAATGTGATATTTAAAAATATGTTAAATTACTAATTTATACAATCTTACGTGTTATTCTAACTGAAAGGTATATTTACAGTTACACATAAATAGTAGATAATATAATTTACATAGTAAGTCAATTTCAAAAGTTAACATATTTTTGTAGTTGNGATATCATCATTTTATTTTTTTTAATTTTCATACAAAATAAATTGTATAAAATCCATTTGTATGAAAATTAAAATAATTAAAATGAAGATAAATATTAATTTTCTGACTTCACCATACCATTTATATGGCCATGTTAACATGGGCTAGTGTCGGCTCATATACCCATTTATCTAACACCCTGTACATTTAGCCCTACAAAAACATACTCTACGTAGTAAAAACCATATATTTGGAATATAAGATTCTGTAAGCAATATAAACGATTACTATATGGCCAATAACTTACAATACTTTAGGCGTTTAGTGCTAGAACTTGTTATTTTGATCCGAACTTTTTATTTAAATAAGTTATGTGTAAAAGAGAAGAGTGATGACCATTTTGTGGCCTTGGTTATATGATAGAGTAAATGTATTCTATATTGATAGGAAGAAAGTCAGTTATCTATCATTTGTTCCACTTTTTGGCCGACTGTTTAGCGGCATATAACACGTAAATAAAATTGAGAAATTGAAATGTTTCATGTATTTTCATTAGTAAATGTACTAAAGACAATATCTTAAGTTTTACTGTTTGCACGATTTTTAAGTGTGTAAATTAATTTATTTTCGTTATTTTACATTGTGTAAGTAATTTGTAGTTAATTATTATAATTAAAAGTATCCATTTGTATAAATCTGTTTCTTTTATTTTTCTTTCTTCTTATGCACCTTTGAGTTTAACTCATTTTCATTATAAAATCATGATTTTCTTTGCACAAAATTGTATAAGTTAATAAAAATGTGATATTTTAAAAAATGTTAAATTACTAATTTATACAATCTTACGTGTTATTCTAACTGAAAGGTATATTTACAGTTACACATAAATAGTAGATAATATAATTTACATAGTAAGTCAATTTCAAAAGTTAACATATTTTTGTAGTTGTTTTTATTTGAACTGACTTTAAAATGTGTGTGAATGAAAAACTTTATAAATTACATTTTGAAACTTAAACTAAAGGACAATGACCAAAAATGTTTGGGGTGTGGTCCAAATGTCCACCACTAACGAGACCTATGTAGTAAAATAGTCTACTAAATACTGATTCATTATACCAAACCGCAATCAAAAATATGCTGTTAGTAAAAAGTTATGACTGAATGAAAAGTCTGTTTTCATCCGAAAAATGTTGTTGATATCATTCTATCCATTGCACATTTTGGACTAATCTACGCATGTTATGTCATGTCGCATGTGGCGCGGGGTTATAGATGAATTTTATTAAATATTATACTAGCTGTGCCTACTTAAGACTTTGTATGCGTAGAAATAGTTTGAATAATATTTCCCATTTTTACAACACTTGTCTTTACTGCTCCGCCCCTATTGGTTGTAGGGTGATGTTATTTATCCTTAAACCATCCTTGATAAATGGGCTATCCATAACAAAAAGAATTTTTCAAATCGGACCAGTAGTTCCTGAGATTAGCGCGTAAACTACTACAATTTTTCAAACAGTCATAACTTTTTACTGACAGCTTATTTTTTTTTCGTCTCATACTGAAAGTTAATCTTTATTTAATGAACTATAAGCCAATATAGGTCTCATTAGTGTTGGACATTTGGACCACTTTTGGTCATTGTCCTTTACATTTTGATGTTATTTCGTCTGAATTTCAATTATAATGTATGTCTAGCATTATTATATCAGTTTTGCTTAATTTATTTATTTATAAACAATAAAATACCATAAACAGTTTGTATACTTTTTATTATAGAAAATTAAATTAAGCTATTGCAATAATAATTTGATCACAAAATTTACAAAGCCGCTCCGTGTCCATGGGTTCCGGTAAAATGGTTAAAAAATTGTGATAAATATAATTTATCTTGGACTTTGTTTTACTACATAAGGACTACGGTCTATTTACGCTTTATTAGCTATCCACGATTTTCCTTATTAACGATAGATATTGGACATACGCTCCATTTCTTTCCACCTTTAGGAAGGCAATTCGAGGATAGACAGGAAGGCCATTAATTTTGGCAGTAATTAGCGCCAATGGAGTCATGATTGCTATGGCCAAACTAACCTTTTAAATTCAGTAATTAATTAGAAATAAAAACATGCAATCTGTCTTATTGTAGTCAATATGAACTGAGTCTTATATCTATTATTTTTGGTAAACACATAAGGCACTTAAATGTGTAACGTTTGTTATCGCTAAAGCTTCAACACACCAACGCGTGCAGATCGCCATCGCCGGCGCGATCAAACGCCAATAACAGGTCGCGCGACCCTTGAATAAGAATAAGAATAAGAAAAACTTTATTTGACACAAAATAAAACAAAAAAAACAGAACAAAGGGACTTAAAACTACACGCATATTTGGTGCCAAAAAGGCGCCCGCTCAGCATTAATCGAGCCACGCGTGCATGCACGCGTGCCCCCACGCTGGTTTTCAGCGTGTGCCTCTCCAACCAACATTTTAAATACAAAAAAAAGGAAAACATTATACAAAACATTGACAAGAGGGCGCCACTATCTCACCGCACCAATTTTTGCCATGTTGAGAAAATACACTCGATTCCGCATTACAATAATAATTAATACAATAACAGACAGAAAAAAAAAATTAGGAATACAACACTGGAGTCGACTCATGACGCCAGCCCCCCTAGACAAAATGCACTTTTATAAATGAATCGAAAAACGAATCTGTCAAAAAAAAAATCCATAAAAAAAAGGCTTATCGATCGCTTTTGTTTGGACTGACTTGCAAATATGAAGTGCACCTTGTCCAGACCCACACAGGATAAATCACCTTGACAGTCCACGCGACCTGTCATTGCCTTTGATCACGCCGTGATCGCGCCAGCGATGGCGATCAGTACCTCTAGTACGAAAAACTTTCGAGTTCGTTTCGTTGCGTATTCAGAGTGTCATCGAAAAATTTTGTATGAAAAATTAAACAGCGCCCCCTAGGGCGGCTATAATATAGGGGGCGCTGTTTAATTTTTCATACAAAATTTTTCGATGACACTTTGAATACGCAACGAAACGAACTCGAAAGTTTTTCCTACTAGAGGTACTGTACGCGTTGGTGTAGTTGAAGCATAAGTGTCTTAAAACTACTGTTAAATAATATAATGGAAACGCAATAATTAATTTAAAATGTGTACGTAAAGTTAAATAAATATAAGACCGGTCTCACGGTTCAAAGTACAGAGAGCAGATTCGCAGCTGTTGGAACTAAATCTATAAGTTATTTAATATTATAAAATAGTCATAAATGATAAATTAGTTCCATACACGGCCACCAGAGGAGTTTACAATCCACTGATGATTCAATACATGCTAGATTATAAAGGTAATAATTTAACATTAGGTGCTTGCTTCCAGAATCCATTTTCTTTACAGATTAAAAAAAATCTCGATTGAAAATAATAAGAAGTATCACATAAGCGCTCATTAGATGGCACCACTGCACAGTGGCACTCTACAGTGGCGCCGCCCTAGTGAGTGCAAATGCTCAATAGTTGGCGCCACTGTATAGACCCAGTATCTTAGGTGTCAGGACTTTATATTGGTGTCCAACAGGTTTATGAACTTATGAATCTGTAAGAAAGAAAAATCCCAGCAATGAGGGTTTTCGCGATTGAAAAATCCGCCAGATGGCAATACGTAGACGCGAGGTCCAAATGCTGCATGATTGGTTATTTTTGACATGACATTGACAGATATGTCAAAATCCACCAATCACGCAGCATTTGGATCTCGCGTCTATGTATTGCCATCTGGCGGATTTTTCAATCGCGAAAACCCTCATTCCAAAGGTAAGCACCTAATAATAGTAACATGGTTACAATACATAAATGTACATAATTATCATAATCATAAACATCATTTCACAAAACAATTCGTAATAAAATTTCAAGTCTCAATTTTTGTTCATTGGAAATAATAAATACAGAGTAGACTAGCTTAAAGAATTTGTCAAAAAATCGCTTGCGCATTCGGTGGGAATGTTTTGAATTTTAATCTCATTTGGATAAGAGATGAGTGAGGCTGCTTCAATCGGCATAAAACAAATCTTACATAACATCTTTCAATCGATTGATGCAGATACAGTCATTAAAGAAGTAAAAATACGCTTATAAAGCATATAAAAAGACCTCCGAGATCCTAAAAGGGGTAATTCTGGTGTTTAAATAGAGTAACAGGCATCAACATGGAAGTGGCAAAAACTATCAACACCAGATTATAAAAAATGTACACCAATTTCTGTGGCATCTTTCGGCAGTCGTTCGAACCCATGCCACCATACCAATCATTTAAATAATTTATTTACATAACACATCATTAATTAGTATAAACAAAATAAATAAACCCCTTCAAATACGCGACACAAAATTCAAGTTAAAGGAGTTTCATTCAAATACTAAACTAAAAAGCTAACATAATACAAATGGTAAGCCAGTGGTTCTCAAATAATAACGAAAAAGCATTAATAGTAAACAACGTTAGTAACAAATATTTTTCCGGCCTTGCCAGAAGGTTTACAAGACATAATGTATGTAGTATACATATTTTTTTTGACTGGGTCATCTCATAAGTTTTGATAGTTTGAAAACCACTGGCGACAACACAAACCCAATTCCAGTCTTGTAATTCGCAGGTACAATCTCATACTATACAAATCCGTATCTACAATATTCAAACTAACAACTAATAAAGTCATGCAAGTCAGAACAAGGGGCCAAACTAGCTAGCTTAAAAAAACAATTTTTCGTTCAGCCTTAGTGAATAAAATTAATTCAAAATATTCAAATCATTCATTATTTATATATTTTTTTCTGAATACGATAGCGAATATATATTTTCTAAAATTTGTATTATTTAATTAAATGTATGGTCTTGTAAAATGTCAGTGGGACTGTGCCTACTTGTAAAGTAAACGACTCTCCTCAAAAACAGGGACCTGCCAAGCATTTTAAATAAGAAGAGACCTCTCAGAGGACTAACTTTTGCCCGCGGCTTCACCCGCGTGAAATTTAGTTTGTCACAGATCGTCATAAATTATAGCCTATTATTCTGGGTTATAAACAATAATACTGTAAAGTTTTATCAAAATCCGTTCAGTAGTTTTTGCGTGAAAGAGTAACAAACATCCAGACATCCAAACTGGTGTGAACGCTGGCATATATGGTTCGCTATCGTATCTGATCTACAGGCTTTGCTTAGCACACTTCAGTCACGAGGATAAAATGTCACATCGAAAGGTTTAAGTGAGCGATTCTGAATCCTGTTTCAGACCGGATATGCTTACGTAGTCGTTACCAGATCGGGACACTTATTGGTTTGGATTAAAACATCAAACGTATTATAATGAAAAACGCCGAGAGAAAGTCATCCGGATCATCTTCTCATTTTTCTGTAACAAAAATATTAATATCAGTGCCATTGAGAAATAAAAAGTATAAAAAGAAAAAAGCTTGTAAAAAGACTAGATTCCTTCTCTTATTGCTGTCTATGAATGTCCTATTGTGTAATTACAAATAATAAGAAAAAGGGGCGCAGAGAATACCCTGATCGGTCGAGGTACTAAGAATAAAATAACACTGTCTATGGTCGTCACACTGACTATGGTCGTCACACTGTCACATTGTCTATGGTCATCAAACTGTCTATTGTAGTCACTCTGTCTATTGTCATCACACTGTCGATTGTCGTCACCATCACTGTCGATTGTCGTCACACTGTCTATTGGCATGGCATGTTTGTCACGACTAATGCTGATTCAGGGACCTTTTTGGCACAGGGCACTTAAAATCTATTTTATTTTTCTTTTTTGGTTTTTTTATGATGTTTTAATCTTGTATTGTGCCTATATCATGTATTGTGTATTGTGCCAAATAAACAATATTCTATTCTATTCTATTGTCTATGGTTGTCACTCTGTCTATGGTTATCACACTGTAGCTACCTGTTGAGCGGCTTCTCCTTGTAGGTAACGGGCTTGCGCGGGCGGCGCGTGCGTCCCGAGGGCTCGTCGCTGTCGCTGGACGACGCCGCGCGGCTGTCGCGGGAGCCGCGTGACGTCACGCTCGCGCTGCGTGGCGCGTCACCTCCGCCGAGCATTTGCGGCTCGGGTACCACTTCCCTGTGGTTGGAAGCAAAAGAATTATAAACTCAAGATTTTAAACTTTCGCGTTCCATTTCAACTAAAATAGTAAGACGCGGGTCTTAACGCGACGTTTATTAATGGGCCATTCTTAAATTTGTGCCAAATTTTTTTTAAAAATTAAAGATTTTTTTTTTTAACTTTTTGCGATGTGTATCGAAAGTATAAACCAAAAGCATACTTTTGATGTATATGGACAACCTTAAAGCCCTCGGAAAGGAAACAAAATAGCCTACGTAAACACGGCTGTGACACTGCATGACACGGATGTGACAGTTTTACATTTTTACTGTAAATAATAATATTTATGTTGTTCAATTTATATCATAATAGTTTAAATTGATTAACAATAAAATACACTAAATTCGTTTCATCAACAAAGGTGTTATTTGGTAATATGTACTTTTTTCTGAACATCCAAAAATTTAATTAAAATTGAGATCAAAAATACCGTCAGGTAGTTAATATAACTACTAGATAATAAAAAAATAGACTTTTTATTATTGGCACTATCTGATCATGCTTCCGATATGCTACCTACATGGTTTCGATATGATAATATGCTTAACAAATTAGCAAATCTTAAACACAGTAGGTACCTTATTGAGTATCAAATGAGATTTCTGTAGGATTCACATAACAGTTGGTTTTGACAACTTAAACATGTTTCATAGTCACCGTACCACTAAAAATATGGTTAATAGCAATTCCTTTTAAAACAACTCCGACCGCCTCTGCAGGGCCTTTACCGGGAGCTGTCTCAGTAAAATTTGATATTACTGCAGAAATGAGAAAGTGCAATAATTTTTCCTTCGTGGCATCTAGAAAATCATACTAGCGAAAAATAAGTACACTTACTAAAAGGCTACTCCTAAAAATTGCACAATACACAAAATAATTTAGCAGAACAACAAAAACTATTAAAATAATAAAAATAGAATGTCACAACCACGCGTTGTAATGTCACGACCATGTACTTAAATAGTTTGCGGCAGTGACACATTTTTAATACCATGGCCGTGACAATTTGGAACGTGTCCGATATATCCAAAAAACTATCTGTGAATTAGCAGATCTTGTGCAATTATCTGAAACTATACTGCATGAGGTACATAATTATGTTTTATACAATAATTATGTACCTCGTGACCACGGCTGCAGCATCGCAGCCGAAACGTCAAGCCGTGAGTACATAATGTAACTCATTAATAAACGTCGCGTTAAGACCCGTGTCTTATTAATTTAGTAATAAACTTATTAAGGGCTTACGCTAAAACTCGCACACGCACGCGTGTCTGTATCAAAAAATAGTATAGATCCTTTCATCCATGAAGACACGCCCCGCCAATTTTTGGTCGAGGGAAGCGCGTGGTGCGGGGAGTTTGATCCGAGCAATTCGAGCGTCATTATTATAGTGTGCGTGTGCACTCATGGATGATTTAACGTGTACCGATAACACTCAAACATTAGCGGAAGAATGGTGGGGCGCGTCTTCGTGGATGAAATTATCTATCACTGAGTCATAGACCTTTTTGTCTCTTAACCTTTTTGTATCTGTGATAAACTGTTAATGAAACCTGTTTCGAGACAAATAAATACTTTCTATTCTATTATATTTATATTAGTATTGAAGAACATGCACCCGCGGCCTGTGTATCTACTAGCAGTGCTGCAGTGCCGCGGTGCAATTAATAGCCGCAGAGCGCATGCTCGAGCATCAAAAGTGATTTTAAAAATTCTTTCACCATTCAAAAGCTACATTATCCACGAGTAACATAGGCTAAATTTAATTTTGGAAAAAAATAGGGTTCCGTAAAATATGTAGATAATGTAGTCCACGCGCGCGAAGCCGCGGGCGGAAAGCTAGTTAGATATAAAAGAAATATTTACTCACGACACTATAACCCTTGCGTCCGTCGATCCATTCGGGCTGGGCGCGTCGAACCTCACGGGTTTCTTGAGGGGCGAATCGCGCGATCTTCTGGTCGGCGAGTCCCGCGATTCCCGCGACCTTCTGACAGGCGAATCCCGCGATCTTCTGCTAGGCGAGTCCCGCGTTTCCCGCGATTTTCTATTAGGCGAGTCTCGTACTTCGCTGGGGGAATCCCGCGATTCACGGGATTTCCTCACGGGTGAATCTTGCCTTTGCGTGGGCGATTCTCGCGATCGCTTCGGTGGGGACGCATCATTCTCGTCGCCGGCGCTGTCGTCGTCCAGACGCATTTTGGCCACGAGTACTTTTAGCACTCGACCACTATTACTGTAGTAAAAAAACATAACTATATTAGGACGTTTCACATATTTACCTAATGGCCTCATTATACAAAAATAGTAAGTAAAATACTCGCATTTGATAGATAGGTAAATCATTTAAAAAAACACGCCCCAATTCTACCTCTGGGTAGTTGATCTTTGAAAGCCTACTTACTACTGGTTCGGGACAATATTACGGCCCTGTTCTGAGAGAAGTCACTATTGTCAGCCAATATTTAGTGGTACATAATGTGACGAAAAATACATAGGAATAAAAAAGAAAGGGTGGTAAACGCCACTTAGTTGGTACCATCACCTCGGGTTCTGTGGAAAAAGCAGCGGCAGGCTATCAAAGTGTTAGCTTACCTAGGGCGCCTAACGACGCGAGACTGCGCCCGCGGCAGCGGCGACGGCGCGGGCGACGGCGGCGAGGCGGACCGCTTGCGGCGCCGCAGCGTCGGCGAAAACTCGCATACGGGCGCGTTCTCCTTCTGTGGGAGGTAGATATACAGGGTGTGGTTTTGTAAAACAACGCCAATCTCACAGGTGGTAGTACACATGAAAGTAATTACAAGAAAAATATAAATAAAATTTTAACTACTACTTTATTAGTAAAAAACCTTGTTCAAACGTCTCCTAAAACTTTAGAGACGGCGCTTGTTACTGCCCCCACTAACCCCGCTACACCACCGGACTTATGCAGGGATAACACATAGCAGGGATTTTGTTTTCATAGGGGTCACTTAAAAATTAGGGATTGATGGTGTACGCGCCAGCATTAAAACCTCATACAAATCAAACTCATGTCACACTATTCTATCACTCACTCTGACAGTCCTTTACCTATCCTCTCCCTCCCACCTTCAGTCTCGCTCTCGCATTGCAACGCGCCGCTTCGCCTACCTATCTGGGCGTTAATACGAAATAAGTATCCAAAATAAACCAATTCAAATAAACCCAAATCGCGCGCTAAACTCAACTCAATAAATATTCAAGTGTTTGTGAAAGTGAAAGAAGAACCAAGCTTGGACCGTCCTGCGGAGTCTGCTCAATCGAAGGTATCCCATCCCATTCCTATCCCAAATCTCCTACAGATGGTGAAAACGGGCATGAATCTTGTAGAGGTCTCAACCGGGAGACGAAACCAGGGCAGTGTACTGTATTACACATTTGATTCTAGGTTATGCAGTTTGTGGTAAATTAAGAAATTAAAATAGGAGTGCAGGCGGTGTTATTGGTGGTGCAAGTGGAGTGGTGAGTGCCACGCCTCCGAGATGTGGGCAGTGGAAGCCCCAACAATATTGACTGACATTGTACAAATGCAGAATCTGTTATACAGTGAAGGTTACGTTGCCGCAGAATGGACGAGAATCTCACACTGCTACACAAATAAAGGTGCGTTCTCTTTCTGTAGAGAAACATTTTGTGGAAAGAGACCGCGTATTGTACCGACTGAAGTGGTGGCGCTATACAACAGGGAAATCTTGTGATTCGATATGATGACTAATATTGTTGACAAATCGGTTATAACTTTTATGATAAACTAGCTGACCCGGCGAACTTCGTACCGCCTTAGCGTAGAGATTTTCTTAATATTTTTTTCCGTAAGAACCATCCTTGGACTTCCACAAACATTTAAAAAAAAGAATTATCGAAATCGGTTCAGCCGTTCACACGTGATGCCGTGACAACGCGAAACGGGTTTCATTTTTATATATATAGATAAAAGCAAACAACTTCTTCAACTTTTACATACAAGATACTAAATTCTGAGTTCGTGTGTTATGAATGGTATTCTAAAATCAATGATTCTTCATATATTCATTGATTCACACTGGCTCATCAGCGATAATATAAAAAGCAACAATAAGCATTAATAAGTTAGTAATGAATTTACCTCTGCCTCATCATTCGACAGCGCGGGCGAGGCAGTGTGCGCGTTGGCGTTCTCCTCAACTTCGGTGGTGGAGTCAGGTTCCAGGTTCGAGCGCGGCCGGGACACGCTTGGCTGAAACAACGGTGACCGTTTGATATTGAGGATAGTGTAGTGTAGTGAAAATATAGTTTACAAGCGGCCGCCCGCGACTTCGTACGCGTGGATCCCGTTTTACCCCCTTAGGAGTTGAATTTTACAAAATTCCATCTTAATGAGAAGCTACAGATTAAAAGGAACCCCCACGCAAATTTTGAGACTCCAAGCACTTGTAGTTTCTGAGATTTCGTGATGACTGAGACAGTCAATCAGTGATGCTTTTATAGATATAGATTTACCTGTAAAGACACGTCTTTTGGTCTTGACATCATTGCATGCATTATTCGTTTGTGTAAATATGTGTTGTTGGTAAATTTTTGTCATTAAAATAAGTTTTTACAACCCGATCAAGCTAAGCGCACCACGCTAGAATGCGACTGTCCCTCGCACTCACCCGCAAACCTCCCCGCGTTTGTACCAGAGCGTCGATGTGACGTCACGGCTGCCAGATGCGCAGTTAACTCTATCAGGTTGTAGTTACTTATGTAGTGAAAAATAATGATGATAACCGCCACTCTTATTTTTAATTTGTATAGTAATTAAAATCCGACCATAACGACAGTGAATGTTAGACCAGTTTGACAAAAGTGCCCTAAAAATAATTTTAGAATAACATTCATACACATTATAAATATGTAAGTATAGGATTACACAAACTTAACTGGATAATTTTCGGGTACCCTTATAGGATTGAGGATTCACCAATTTGTCTGTCATCACACTCACGAGTAATTTTACAAAGAACTTGATGACTAAGAGATTTTTCTTAAATTTTATGTAAATTGTATTTTTATAACCATTTATAAATTGTATGATTTCGTAAATTGTGGAATATACGAATAACTTTATTGTGTTATTTATTAGTAGGATTTGAAATACAACAAATAGTTTTACCTTATCATTTCTCGGTGCGTCAAGCAACCAGCTGGGGCCTTCTAGCGGATTGTCCACTCTACTGCTGTGAACAAGACAAATAATATAAAATAATCTGTGTCACTTAGTTATTGTTAGTATTTTTAATGGTGAAGCTGGTCTGCTAATTATTGGACTTCAACCTTTGAAAAAACCTTTTATGGGCGCCTTAAAAATTACAGGTGTGAGGAAGCGTTGTAGTGGCGTCACTGCAGCGTTTCTTCATCCTCACGCATTTAATTTGAAGGCATCCTAAGTCATTTAACTTCCCAAAGGTGCAGTCCAGAAATGTAGCCAGGCAATTTTTTTCACTAAAAAAGGACTCAAAATATGTTGCAACTTTCTAAAATAACATTTTGATACAAAATAGCCAGTATTATTGGAGACTACATCGGAAGTATTTGAAGAACTTATTTATTATACCTTGGAGGTGTTTCTATTTCATCTTCAGGTTCCAAATCTTCAGTCACTGCATCCAGTCTCCGCCTAAAACGAATTAATAAAACAATGGTTACTGAAATATTTAGCAAGTTAGTGTCTCTTTTATTTATTTAATTAAAATATTTGTCTTACAGCATATTTTTGATGATATTAGTAGCCTCATAAAAGCTTGGTGGTATGCAGGTTGCATTTGACCAAACTGTGCCATAATTAGACATAAAATATTTAATATTTCCAAAAACTAGCTAGTAGTAGAAATAAAGGGAACACTTACGATTCTTCAAAGTCTTCTTCTGTAATATTTTGAGATTCATCAACAGATCTTTCGTGACTGTCTGAAATAGTACAAAGAACATTTAAAATTTCTAATAAGTACAAATCATATCAAAAACAGATGTCTCAGTCTAGTTTCTAAGCTTGCATGAATATAAATATAATGGTGAAGGGGTTGGACTGACCGACTCGTCATCTGAAGAAAACGAGTTCGAATCCTGCTGACGCTCGACTATTGTGGTGAGCCCAATCGTAAGCATTTTAGCTTAGTACGAGGGGCTAATGGTAAATTGTGCAAAAAAAAAATATACTAATATTCTTTAAAAAAAAACAAGTGCTTTAGTACCTTCAAGGCCCAAGTCTCCACTGCTATCCTCCATGTCATTCTGTTCTGTATCCGATTCCATGTTGTTCCCTGCCTGGTCGTGTAAGGCGGCGTCTATTCTCGTTAGAGGGATGTAAACGTCTGTAATGGACAAGTGCATTGAACATGTTAAAAAAGGAAGTAGGAGGCCATATTAAGCTGAATTTGCAAGGCAGCCTCAAATAGAGACGCTGCCTCAACCTGAGGCCAGACTCGTTGCGAGACACATCGCCACGGACCGCTGCGCGGCTCGGTAGCCGCAATTTTGTCGCTCGAGACGAAGCAGGCACTCGGCCCGAGGCTGCCTCTAGTGGATACGCGTCTTTAGTATCACGTGGTGTCTAAAGTCAGCGACGAGCATGGCGCAAGCACAATCAAACCAATATTCCTTGCTCTGCAGTTCATTTGCCAGTATATTGCTAAAACAGGTAAAGGGCAATAATAAAAGCAACATAAAATATATACCTACCTTGTAACATGTGCATAGGCAGTGCTCTGGGCGTTACACTTCTGTTGAGTGATGAATTAGGACTCCTTGATGCTGTTCCTGAAAAATACAACATAGTCATTTACCTCATGGTATGTATCACCATCATTACACTAAACTATGTGCACGTTGCTTCTTATTTTATTACTACAAGAAAATATGTATTATAATAGCTTAATCATTTTTTGGCCATTGTAACTGTCAAAAAGTTCAGCATACTCTACTGGTAATTTTCAAAAAATATTTAAACTCACTTGGATTGCTTGTGTTTAAAATGGCCCGGCTTAACGACACCACAGGCTGAATGGACTGTCCCCCAATCATCATTGGTGGGACACGATGGACCCTATCATTGTTAGGCGTCCCCCCAATATTGCTCCATCTAGGGGACGCTGTGTCTAGCTGCTGTCTATCTCTCATATACGTTTTAGCCAGTTCTATGGTCCGCGCTACTGCTCCGGAGGCCTGAACCAGATGTGAAAGAGCCTCTTCGCTGGCTGATTGTAACGCAGCATCTAGTTTTCTGGCTTGGGCCGNCTGAGCCGCTCCACCACTCCTGATTCGCTGTAAAACAGTAAAGCAGTTTAATTTTACGACGTTTCATGGTATTTAAACAGAAATATTACTGCAACCATAGTATAATTTGCCTCCAATCGAAACTTGCTAATTATTTGCATATTTTTTTATTCGTTATTTATTTTATTTGGTGCACAAAACATAAACCACAAGTTGTGGTCCACAACCAACCATGAAGTCTCTCAAGTATACTTATAAATAGCATTAAAATATATCATAATTATTGTAGTTGAACAAAATAATATTGATAAGGTTTTTTACCAGAGGCATAGTTTGGCAGCCAAAGGCCCAGGTGAGAAAAAAACTGGGGTATTAACTAAATTACTTTTCATCAGGTCAAAATATAAATACTTGTACTAAAACAGAAGTCTTTTAGGACAATATCCTGTATTGTTTCAGTTATCTGTAGTTTTATTTGCCTACATTTTAACATACATTCTAGAGGTAGAATTTATAGCCAGTTCAATGAGGTTTGCTGGTCAGGGCTTCGAGGGCCCCTGAGCTGAGCGGCCTCAGTACACGGCACCGCTTAGCGCTCTAAGCTACGCCATTGATATTGATACATGAAACTACTGCGACATGACTAAGAGACTTCATAGTAATGATAAACGCCTATTATGTACTCACACTGAGCTTCAGTCGCAGTTCATTTATTTCTTTCATCAGCTCGAGCTTCTCGTTCTCTCGCTGTGCTGCAGTCATCTTCCAGTATTGCACTTTTTGCACCAATTCATTGTTTTTCTCCCTGAGATCTTTGATCTCGTCTTCGGGAGTCGACATCGTGTGTAAAGCTTGAAGTATGGCCACAGAACACTCAAAAGCGATCAAAGTGACTTTTAACACTAAAAAAATAAATGAAATTCAATAAAACAGAAAAAATCCACAACAAAATCATGCAACAACGGTTACGGAAGAAAGTACTAGGGCTGCGATGTTGTCAAATGCCAAAGTGAGTGAATAATAATCGATAACAATAATTGAATTTCTTTGGAATAAAACTCGTTTCTATGGTAAACTAGCTGACCCGGCGAACTTTGTTCCGCCTTAATGGCAATAAATAAGTAGACTTTTTTTTTATTTCGAAAGGGATAAAAAGTATCCTATGTCCTTCTCCTGGCTCTAAACTACCTCCCTGACAATTTTCAGCTAAATCGGTTCAGCCGTTCTTGAGTTTTAAGTGGAGTAACTAACACGACTTTCTTTTATATATATAGATTGTAAATTTTTTCGTCGCGAGTAGCGGCAAAAAACGGCTACTCCGGCAGTCCAGAGCCCCATAGAGAAAAGTAATACATAGGAGCCCCGATTACGGTAATTTTTAACGTCTCCAATCCAGAGGCGTTTCATCGATTCTGCGATACGATTGGTCAAAACATTTTTGACATTTTTGACCAATTGAAAAAGTTAACTGTTTTGACCAATCGTATCGCAGAATCGATGAAGCGCGTCTAGATTGCAGACGTTAAAAATTACCGTGATCGGGGCTCAGTGCCCCAATTGCGCTAAATATTTTAAACTAGACGACGAACGTGAATCACAAATTCTTCTCTCGCGGTGTCGCTTTGACAGCTCTACTTAGCTTCATCAAACGAAAACAAATCGCAACTTCTGCAAAAGCGGTAAAAGCAAGTCAAACGCCTTCATGAACATTTGCTGTGTTTTAGTGAAAAAACAAGGTGTGCTTAATTAAATTCGTTGTTTCGTCTTTGTTTGCGCGTGAACTTTACCGCGATACCGAATTGCACATCAGGTGGAATGAAAATGGAGTGTGGACTAGAGATGAAACGCGAATGAATTTAGAGACAAACATTACAAATTAGGGCAATCGGGGCACAGCTTCCCTAAAAAAGTAACAAAAGTGGCAGTTGTTATCGCGGAATCGCCTACGGTTTTTTTTCATATATAGTTGCATACTTTGCTCCGTCAAAGTGTTTAGTGCCCGTTTTTTCAACATCAATCCCTAATCCTAATTTTTAAGTGACTCATATTTTATTTTATTTTATTTATTTTATTTATTTATTAGGTACACCAACAAAGTCACATACATAATACATACATAATATGAAAACAAAATGTCTGTTATGTGTCATTTATCAATTTGGGATTGATGGTGAAAACGGGCATAGGAGTCTCTAGGAGAGCGTGTTAATTCCGCGATCTTCACCAGCATTAGTCCTAGCCTAATAGGAGGCCTACCTACACACATTACGTCTTCCGGTTCTCAAGAACTTTTCTGCCCCATCAATCATCATTTCTACGAATAATGTGCCTACTGCTTATGCTAAAAAAACTTAAATTTTGTAGGAAAGTATATTCTCAAATTAATTAACATTATAAAGAGTAAAATCGATTTTTAATTAATCGATTATTTTTCCTCAATGTCACATCCCTAAAAGTACTCGACATTTTGACAGTACTTGTACTCAATGACACTGTCACTGTGACATTCAATGGCTTTTTTTATTTTAACGATTGACTGTAATTTAAAAAAAATATTTTTTTAGGTGGGCATAGCATGGCAACATCAGTATTTACAACTGTCAAAAACGGCGTGTCGCACGCACACCGTTTTTGAGGTTATATTTTCCACAAACATTGGATCAGCGTGTTATTTTCATTTAATTTGCCGCAATGTCCTTCCGTGGTAGAGGCGGTGGTGGCGGTGGCGGTGGCCGCGGCGGCGGTGGACGAGGAGGCTTCGGCGGACGCGGCAGAGGCTTCGGCGGCGGAGGTAGAGGACGCGGCGGCGGCGGCGGTGGCTTCAGACAGCAAGATGCTGGACCTCCGGAGAGCGTGATTCCACTGGGCCACTACGGTTGGACGGTGCAAGACGACTTAGTCTGCAAAGTGGACATCGAGGACGTGCCGTACTTCAACGCTCCCATCTTTTTAGAAAACAAAGAGCAAATCGGAAAGATAGACGAGATATTCGGGAATTTGCGCGATTACTACGTGTCAGTGAAGCTCGGGGAGAACATTAAAGCGAAAAGTTTCAAGGACGGACAGCAATTTTTCATCGATCCGGCGAAGTTATTGCCGCTGAAGAGATTTCTGCCGCAGCCGCCGGGCGCGAAAAGAGGCGGCGGCCGTGGACGGGGCGGCCCTAGGGGAGGATTCGGTGGCCGCGGCGGAGGCGGTGGCTTCGGCGGTCGCGGCGGCGGCGGTGGCTTCGGTGGGCGAGGCGGCGGCGGTGGATTCGGCGGCCGCGGCGGTGGAGGCAGAGGCGGCGGCTTCAACCGGGGAGGCGGCGGCGGCTTCGGCCGAGGCGGGGGCGGCAGAGGCGGCGGCTTCCGAGGTGGCAGGAGATAGTGACGTTATATTGAAAAGACTAATCAAATTGACCAAGTGTATAAAATTGATAAAAATGTGCTTGAGGCCCTCGCCACATGAGTTGGACTAAGAATTAGGTGATGATGTTGTTGTTGGTTAAGTCAGTGGCATAATTTTTAAGTGAATTCATGTAATTCACCTAATTTTACCATTACTTTTATGTAATGTGTCTGGCTTGAGAGATTAGTTTTCTAGGCTTTATTACTTGTACCTATGTCAACTATTGATTTACTTAGATGTACAGGTACATTTAATTTAAAACTACATAGCTGAATGTAGAATTTTAGGTTAAGATTCACAACAGCAATAACTGTTGTTACTTTTAAGAGTTTGAGCATAGAACACTTGTGTGGCGAGGGCCACACAAATTAATGTTATGTATAAGTTACATAAAAATATACATTTCCTTAATAACTTTGTTTTTCTATTTCTTTTGATAATAAGTGCCACTTGTGGTCTAAACTGAATAAATATTTTTGATTTTGATTGATCTTAAATTCATTCATTGAATAGTTCAATAAATTATGATAAATTTGTCAGTTGAAACTTGGTGATGATCACAAAAAAACAATTTTATAATCTTATCAATCCATTACCTATATTATTCATTTATAAATACATTTATTACAAAGAAATTAACCTATGAATCTAAATTCTCTAGTTCTGCCTTCCCACCGCTGGGGACATAATCAAAGGCTAATGCCCTGCCTCGGTGATTGAAGATGTAGAAAGAAGGAAGGTTCCGTTGGGTCTCCCATTTGATGTTGTTCAGTTCAGCAGCTGCCTGGATCTCTCGAAGATTCCCAGCCACATTGAGGACTCCCCACATCACTGCAAATAGACTGGTTACAGCTTGCACTACAATCTGAAATAGACCAAGGAGTAAGCTTTAGTTCAATGGCCTAATATCAACATATTCCTGTAAGAGATTGATTGTATTGGGTTTATTTAATGTTGAAAGAAAACATTGTCAAAGTTTATGTTAATTCATTATGCTTTTGTGTTTGTTGGTGAAACTAAAGCGATACCGCAGGTAGTCTGTGGTGTCTCCAGTGTCCCATTTGTGTGTTAAGAGATTTAGAAGGAAAATTATTTACTAAAATACACCCTTACATCTAATGGTAATGTTGTGAATTCCTGTGCGGTGATTCGTAGATAAGAACGATCTGAAAAGCGAGGAAACAAATTAATTAAGCTAACAATCAATGAATGTACTAAAATACTATTGGTTTAGGAAATAATTTACTTACGTTGGGCAGCAGAAAATGCTGAATGGAACAGCGATATGAATCCAACAATAACAATAATTTTATGGAAAGATGCCATTATTTAACTATAACTTAATGCTTATTGAAAATATCTACAATAGTAAGGCACAAACCCAAAGGATTTTGTTTTATAGGATTTTATTTGGAATTTTCATCAATTTTCTCTTTTCTCACAGGCCTGACCTGTCAAATCTGTCAATGTCATTTTTTTTTTGATCTTGCGTTTAGTTGTTCGTTTGGTTTGTTATTTCATAAAGTTATCTATTGCATCATTTGCATCCCCAAAGTAATCGAAATTCTAACCAACTCCGGTTCAATAACTTAATTCGTATAGAAAGCTTACGGCTTACAGTACGATTTCATTGCAGCCGCAGCCTCAGCTTTTTTTACATTTCTAATGACACTATTGACAGTTCGTAAATGTACGGTATGTCAGTGTCAGTTTCAGTTTTCCCCAAATTCAGGGAGATATTGAATAGTCGAACTGCTGGTTACATATTTGTTTAATGTCATTTTTTCGTCAAACTAACGTATCGATAAGCACTTTTTATAAATAGAAATTGTAAAAAAAGGTATGTCCATAAAAATAATTTTCGATCCATGATGCGGCTTGTGTTCCAAAGGCTTTGAAATAAACGAATAAAAAAAGTAAAAATCTAATATGAGGCTGGTCACCCCATCGAATTTGTCAAACATTGCGGGCGGCAGCGGTTGGGCGTGTTTTCGATTTTAATTTCAAGTTTTCGTAATATTATTGACTAAAAGTGGTTTTTAATTTAAAAATATGATACGGAATCGTGGTCTACAGGAGTTTGAAATAGAAACAAAGCCGTCGAGAAGACTGGTGGAAAAGCAGAGTTTTTGGAGTTCCCTCTACAATGAAGAAACTTCTACATTATTGGGAAGAACGCCTGAAAGTTGGGGTCAGTGAACTTTTTCAAGTGTTTCCTGAAGTTTTATTTAAGTTTGAAATTTGTTTTTAACTGAAGATTATACGTTGTGTGGCGGATTTTCCCTAATTTATTTTATTGTTTGGGCGTGGTTAACAATTGTTTGATATCGGGAACTGTGTACGAAATAGATGTTTTTTGTGGTGTGGATTTATAAAATTTCAAATTTCATAAAATTGTTTGTGTCTTTACCACAAAAACTTGGTGGTTTTTCTAGTTAACAAGTTTCTTCAGGTCATATTGTTTCAATAATTCTCTTTAATTTAAGGATATACATGTCATCTATTTTAATAGTAATACAATATTTAAAGAGGCAATTAATGTAATTATATTAATCACCCAAAAGCCAGTGTCAGAAGCCATGCTGTTGATCCAATAAATCGTGGACAAACCCAGGCTTATGTCATTGGAGTGTTAACTGTTGCCACTAATCCCTGCCTATCTGTGAAGCCCTGTTTAATTCCTAAACACTGTGGACCGCACATGAAAATAAACATTGGCGTCTATGACATTGAATTAAGTGCTATTTTGCAATCAATTTCAACAAAAACGTAGTGTCTTCTGTTGACTGTATTTGAACTGGATTAACTTAGATGTGATCTGTTTCTCTAACAGTTATTAACAAAGATTAATATCAAACAGAAACTAGGTTTATTCAATACCATCAAAGCTAATTTTGATTACAGTTGCCTTATTTCAAAAATTTTACTTTTTCTGCAGTTTGGAGTAACATTAAGCTACTTATTATTTATTTAGTGACTCATAATAAATAATTAAACTAACACTAAAACGTTAATCTTACAGGTAAACTCATCATTTTCTACATCATATTCTACGCTGCCCTGGCCTCTTTATTCATGATCTGCATGGTCACGTTCCAACAACAGTTCATCAACCCGAGAGTGCCCCGTCTGCAGCAAGAGTACAGCGTGATAGGAACGAGCCCTGGCCTGGGCTTCCGGCCGCTGCCGCCTGACGTTAGAAGCACCCTGATCTGGTACAAGGGAACCAGTTATGAAAGCTACAAGTATTGGGAAGACCAGCTCATAGATTTTCTGTCGGGTAATTTAAATTGCAGATTATTTGATTATGAAAAGTAATAAAGATTATAGAAATAGACCACTTAGGCAGAGTTGCACCAACTTTAACCGTAACTGTAACAATGACTGGTGTTTTTTGTACGGAGTTTGACAGATTTTTGATGTTTGTTAAAGCTAAAGTAAGATGGTGCAACCCAGCCTTATTCTGCTATTGTTTTAGATATAGGAAGCCACGCTTAAAAATGGTCTACAAAGTAGCTATTTCTTGATAATGTAACCAGTACCTATCTATTTAAATTCAATCAAGCAACATGCTAGTAACCATGTGTAGTGGTAGTACCTTCTCTAAACATGTTGTGTTTCCAAGAAACAGACAAAGGCCTTACTGAGTGAAGTGTTGTGTTTTCTTAATTGGTTTTACCATTATTATGTTAATGGGGTTCCACACTTCCACCATAGTCATTTTTGGTCTTTTATCTTTAATCAGTTTTAAGTTGATTCACTTGTCGTCATACCTTGCTTGCTATTTGTCATTTTTAAGCAAGCCATGCAGTAATGTCTCATCGCGTTCTCAGCCCGTCGTTTACCGTAGCCACTATCGGTACGTGCCAGAAGTCATGGTCGTATGATAAACGCAAAAATGAAGTTAATGAACTGATAAAAATTGTATAAGTACCTATTTTAAAAGACGACGTTCAAAAGTCAATGTTTGTGTTTGTTTTGTGAATTTGATAGCTGTTTAATAACATTTAAAAACAAATAAATTATTTATTTAATTTAAATTTATCTGGATAAGGGTACTTTACATTACTCAGAGTTCCTACTATTATCAACTATGATCTCCGAATCGGTAGCCCATCATCCTGGGGTGGACACGGGACACCCGGCCCGCCCACTATAATACGCGCATGTTCAAATGTGTACAAGAAAAAAACGACTGACCTTGGACGCTGAACCAGAACATTATTTTACCATGCCTGTAATATTCTGATGAAAAAACTGTTCTTTCTTTCTCAAACTCCAAGTGTATAAGAAAGGTTAAACCGCGGGCGGCGGGTGTTACCCAGAACATAATTTTATTATTCTGTACTGATCAAAAAATGTTTCTTTCTTCCACCCAGTGTACAAGAAGAAAGGTCAAACAGCTGGTGCGGGTCAGAACATCTTCAACTGCGACTTCGAGCACCTGCCGCCGCCGGGCAAGGTGTGCGACGTGGACGTCCGCGGCTGGGACCCCTGCATGGAGGAGAACCACTTCTCCTACCACAAGTCCTCGCCCTGCATCTTCCTCAAGCTCAACAGGTACTAGTGTGCTAAAGTCTGGTCGCCCACACTGCTGCCGCCCCGTCGCACAGTCGCGACAGCAATATAATTACGCGCGAGCGATAAGGATGGGTAGCTTGGGGTCATTGGACAAAATTCTACGTGCTCGGCGATCAGACTATAGCGCTAGCTAACGCTATTTTTCGCCAAACGCCATTGTGTTTTCAACGAAAATGCAGCAGTTGCACCTTTGTTTTTTTTTTGCATCATATACCCTAATTATCAGCAGTTTTCGAGTTCTATTATTATGACAAAAAAGAAGGCCTCCCCAACAGCAATGTAGAAAGACTAGCCTGAGACGGTAAAGCAAAAAAAACAATGCGATGTACAACCCGATTAAAATAACTACGCATCTCGCTGGAATGCTCTTCCTCGCTGTCTACTCACGGACATTGCCCGCGGGCGGCGTGACCGGAGGGAGCGGCGAGCGTTCGGCGAACGAACGAGCAATGTTCGGTTCGCGAGCGAACATCGAAGAAGACGATCCTGACGCACTCTCTTCAACGACTTTGCACTAAACGGTCTCAATATCATTGTTAATTTATACCGAATAGACAATTAATTGTATACAGTCCACTCTTTCATTTAATTAACTTCCACTACACTCACTATCGAAGTAACACTCGCACTCCTCCCCACGTTCGCCCCGTCCGTACCAGAGCGTCGACGTGACGTCACGGCTCCTTAAAAGAACAAAGCGGACGATTTGCAGGTACTAATTTTATTCTAATTAAAAGACTTAATTTTTGACATGACATTGACAGATATGTCAAAATCCACCAATCATGCAGCATTTGGACCTCCCGTCTACGTATTGCCATCTGGCGGATTTTTCAATCGCGAAAACCCTCATTGATGTGATTTATGTTGTTCTTCAGGATATACGGCTGGCGGCCGGAGCTGTACAATGACACGACGCGGCTGCCGCACGACATGCCGGCCGACCTCCAGTGGCACATCAGAAACCTCACCAGCTACAACAGGAACTATGTCAGTATAGTTATATTAATTAAAACTGTGACACATCCGTCATATTTCGAGCGATTTTGTTGTACGGGTTTGACGCAGACCGTCCCGTTCGCATTTCGTTTCGAATTCAAAAATGGTCTCATTCGCATTCGGTGCCTTTCGCCTTTGGTCACTTATGCATTCGATTCCAATCGCATTATTCGCATTTGGTCCCATTCGCAAAATGGTCACACTCAGATAAAACATTTTCAACTTACAAGTTGAACTATTGTTTAAAAAATGGTAGGCTTTAAACAGTTAAAGCCTACCATTTTCAGATATAGATCTGAGTGTGATCATTTTGCGAATGGAAAAAAATGCGAATAGNTATTATTGCGTAATCCGTAGTCGTGTATTACGCGCACTTATGTGCGAACGTAAAGATTCACTCCGTCTCTGTCTGACTAAACAAATTTGAGCGCGACGAAGCAAACGCACACAAACGTAGTCAAACCATATTCATGTAAATAAGAAAAAATATGTAAATATTTTTATGAAATTGATATTTTTTAAATACGCCAACTTTTAAGTTGACAGGTCCTAAGCCTGTTGAAGTATGAAGGGAGGAATTATTATTCAATTTCAAATTGCATTATTCACACTACGGTTGTATCTTTTAAAAAAAATTGTATTTTAAAGTCATATTACGTGGATTAGTCCGCACTAGTCGCGTCAAGTATGCTAAATTACTACGTACTAGGTGGAACAGGTATTTGGATCGAGTATTAATAAATACTTGGAATAGGTGCACCTAGTATCAAATTTACCTAGTATAACCCATCTCTACAATGTCATTTTTTTTGATGTTGCGTTTAGTTGTTCGTTTGTTATTTCATAAAGTTATCTGTTGCATCCCCAAAGTATCGAAATTCTAACCAACTCCGGTTCAATAATTTAATTCGTATAGAAAGCTTACAGTACGATTTCATTGCCGCAGTTTTTTTACATTTCTAATGACACTATTGACAGTTCGTAAATGCACGATATGTCAGTGTCAGTTTCAATTTTCCACAAATTCAGGGAAATATTGAATATAGATGAACCACGCTGAACTGTCCCACCAAACTCAATGACAGGGGGGCGCTACCATCGTTCAACTATATGGTTTCTAACATGGCTAAAATCTGAACCAGCGATCCGGTATTGACGGTGGCGCCCCACTGTCAATGTCATCGACAGGACAGTCCAGTATTTTGGAACTATAGTAAAACTGCTGGTTACATATTTGTTTAATGACATTTTTTCGTCAAAATAACGTATTGATAAGCATTTTTTATAAAAATTGTAAAAAAAGCTATATCCATAAAAACAATTTTCGATCCATGATGCGGCTTGTGTTCCAAAGGCTTTGAAATAAACGAATAAAAAAAAAGAAAATCTAATATGAGGCTGGTCACCCCATCGAATTTGTCAAACATTGCGGCACAGATTAGAGAGTATGTCTAAAGACAGATAGGAAACGGCCCTAGTATTTGTTGAACGATAAACAAACTGGTACCGAGCTAGATTGTCCAGTAGGTGGCGCTGTAAACAATATGGCGTCTGCCGCCCACAGATTAAATATATACCTCTCATACTTTTTTTATGATCCGTTCCGTTTCATGTAATGTGTTTAAAAATAAAACTATTGAAGTATAAAATAAAACTTTATTGATGAAATATAACATGAAATATTTTGTTTACGAAAATCAATAAGCAATAAAACTACTGGATTTTAAAAGATTACAGTTACTGTTGTGATAACAGTACATTGTTTTAGTTTTTACATTATGTACTCACGGATTGACATTTGTATGTAACTCATATAAAATATGTTGCGTTAAGACTTATAGTAAAATAGTTTAATGTTCTCCATAAATTCACACGTTCACTCTCACGTTGGTTCTGTCCACTCCACTGTAAGCAGGCCAGATCTACATGTTTCTCACCACCTGTAAAATATATGAAATATTTGTAAATTTAGAGCAAAAAGTCACCGTAAGTCTGTAATCTTCTACATCTACATTCTACACTAATATTATAAAGAGTACAGCATATAAACAAGTGATCGATCTATCTATCTACCATGCCTACTGTCTGTTTTGTTTCTAGATTCATACTACTTTGTTAAATGAAAATTAATTTACCTTGTCAAATGTGTACTTGTCAATCAATTACTTAATATATATTCACAGAATCTGGATTCCACCAATCTGTAATCAAATAATTAACTTTTAGGTCTTTCTATTTGATCCTAGATGAAAAGCGTCAGAAGATACGGGTAAGAATGATTTTGAGGGTCTTTTCAATTTTATAGGTACTTACCGAATGTTCTTATAAATAGAAGTTGTTTTAATTGTTATCTGGGTAATTCATCCAACACAAATCTTCCTAATTTAATGCATGGCATAACCTGCAAATGAAATGAGTTCATCATTTGTAATTAAGCATTTTTGGTCTTGTTTTATTGTTTAAATAGGTCTCTTTTAAACTTCATTGAATATGTTGGTTCATCTGGACCTTTTTAAGTAACAGTTGACAATAATGAGCAGCACCAGTGATTCCACAGCAAGCACTTTTATTGTAATTGCTGCTTAACACTTTATAAGTTCGAAGTTCGATATTAACCTGAAACAAATAGGTACTTAGATTCATTGTATAAAACACGTATCATTCACTGTATCCTGCAATCTATGCCTGCAATGTACCTACTTGTATTGTATTTTATGTCCAAAATCCAAAGTATGTTGTTACTCCATGAAACTATCCATATTTGGTTTCCATTGATTTAAATGGAGTTATGAATGATTTTGTAATGAAGATTTAATCCTTTGTGTGGTTCAATACTTAAAAAATGATGTTGCTGCAAGTAATAACCTATCTCGAGTGAAATGACTTACTTATTAACTTACTTGAGAGAATTTTTTTCGTAAACAAACATCAATCCCACAGGCAATTCATGCACATGTAGTTCTTATTAATAATGACTGAGAAATTATTGATTTCAATTAGAAACAATTAAAAATCGTAAAAAAACACGTTTTTTCGATGAAAAATTTTTGACGTTTATTTTTTTTTTAAATGTCACAGTTGTAGACTTGAGACGGAACTAAAGTGATTAAAGTGAAAATTACGACTTTGAATTATTATACTTTTAAATAACCATTTAATTAGAAATCACATGGATTCAATAAAATAATTTATGAATAAAAGCTGAAGTTGTAATTCGAAAAGGTTTGTAAGGTTTCTAACATGCAAAAGACCACTGTCGCATACAAAAGACAACTATAAAAAAAGTCACTTCCTCTCGGAACTGTCAAAAAAATTCACTCTCTATGGAGCTGTCAAACTCTATGGCGTTTCCACCCCGTGCATTGCGGGCGGCAGCGGTTGGGCGTGTTTTCGATTTTATTTTCAAGTTTTCGTAATATTATTGACTAAAAGTGGTTTTTAATTTAAAAAGATGATACGGAATCGTGGTCTACAGGAGTTTGAAATAGAAACAAAGCCATCGAGAAGACTGGTGGAAAAGCAGAGTTTTTGGAGTTCCCTCTACAATGAAGAAACTTCTACATTATTGGGAAGAACGCCTGAAAGTTGGGGTCAGTGAACTTTTTCAAGTGTTTCCTGAAGTTTTACCTAACTTTAAAATTTGTTTATAACTGAAGACTAAACGTTTTGTGGCGGATTTTCCCTAATTTCTTTTAATGTTTGGGCGTGGTTAACAATTGTTTGATGTCGGGAACTGTGTATGAAAGAGATGTTTTGTGTGGTGTATGGTTTTATAAATTTCATAAAATTGTTCGTCTCTTCTTTACTAAAACTTGATAAGTGGTTTTTGTAGCTATCAAGTTTCTTCAAGTCATATAATAAGCCATATTGTTTCAATAATTCCCTTTAATTTAGGGATACTTGTCACCTATTTTTAATAGTAACAATATTTAAAAAGGCAATTAATGTAATTATATTAATCACCCAAAAGCGAGTGTCAGAAGCCATGCTGTTGATCCAATAAATCGTGGACAAACCCAGGCTTATGTCATTGGAGTGTTAACTGTTGCCACTAATCCCTGCCTATCTGTGAAGCCCTGTCTAATTCCTAAACACTGTGGACCGCACATGAAAATAAACACTATGGCATCTATGACATTGAATTAAGTGCTATATAGCAATCAATTACCACAAAAACCTGATTTGCTGTAGGTAGACTGTATTTGAACTGGATTATCTTAGATTTGATCTGTCTGTCTAACAGTTATTAACAAAGATTAATATCAAACAGAAACTAGGTTTATTCAATACCATCAAAGCTAATTTTGATTACAGTTGCCTTATTTCAAAAATTTTACTTTTTCTGCAGTTTGGAGTAACATTAAGCTACTTATTATTTATTTAGTGACTCAAAAATTTGAGTAAATGTTAATGTATGTTTTAAATTCAATAAATTATTTGTATTTGTATTTGTAATTAAACTAACATTAAAACGTTAATCTTACAGGTAAACTCATCATTTTCTACATCATATTCTACGCTGCCCTGGCCTCTCTATTCATGATCTGCATGGTCACGTTCCAACAACAGTTCATCAACCCGAGAGTGCCCCGACTGCAGCAAGAACACAGCGTGATAGGAACGAGTCCTGGCCTGGGCTTCCGGCCGCTGCCGCCTGACGTTAGAAGCACCCTGATCTGGTACAAGGGAACCAGTTATGAAAGCTACAAGTACTGGGAGGACCAGCTCATAGATTTTCTATCAGGTAATTTAAATTGCAGATTATTTGATTATGAAAAGTAATAAAGATTATAGAAATAGACCACTTAGGCTGAGTTGCACCAACTTACTTTAACCGTAACTGTAACAATGACTGGTGTTTTTTGTACAGAGTTTGACAGATTTTTGATGTTTGTTAAAGCTAAAGTAAGATGGTGCAACCCAGCCTTATTCTGCTATTGTTTTAGATATTGGAAGCCACGCTTAAAAATGGTATACAAAGTAGCTATTTCCTGATAATGTAACCAGTACCTATCTATTTAAATTCAATCAAGAAACATGCTAGTAACCATGTGTACCTTCTCTAAACATGTTGTGTTTCCAAGAAACAGACAAAGGCCTTACTGAGTGAAATGTTGTGTTTTCTTAATTGGTTTTACCATTATTATATTAATGGGGTCCACACTTCCACCATAGTCATTTTTTGTCTATTGTCTTTAATAAGTTTTAAGTTGATTCACGCGTCGTTATTCATACCTTGCTTGCTATATGTCATTTTTAAGCAAGCCATGCAGTAATGTTGTCTCATCGCGTTCTCAGCCCGTCGTTTACCGTATCCACTATCGGTACGTGCCAGAAGTCATGGTCGAATGATAAACGCAAAAATGAAGTTAATGAACTGATAAAAACTGTATAAGTATTTTAAAAGACGACATTCAAAAGTCAATGTTTGTGTTTGTTTTGTGAATTTGATAGCTGTTTAATAACATTTAAAAACAAATAAATTATTTATTTAATTTAAATTTACGTCATGAGGGAGCGACGTCTAGAGTAAGAGAGAAGATGATTTTTCCTTGCTTATAAATTAATGTGGTATCTGGATAAGGGTACTTTACATTATTCAGAGTTCCCCTGACATGTCATGATGCGATTGGTATAGCTCATGAGTGTGTACCTACTATTATCAACTATAATCTCCGAATCGGTAGCCCATCATCCTGGGGTGGACACGGGACACCCGGCCCGCCCGCTATAATACGCGCATGTTCAAATGTGTACAAGAAGAAAACGACTGACCTTGGACGCTGAACCAGAACATTATTTTTCCATGCCTGTAATATTCTGATGAAAAAACTGTTCTTTCTTTCTCACACTCCAAGTGTATAAGAAAGGTTAAACCGCGGGCGGCGGGTGTTACCCAGAACATAATTTTACTATTCTGTACTGATCAAAAAATGTTTATTTCTTCCACCCAGTGTACAAGAAGAAAGGTCAGACAGCTGGTGCGGGTCAGAACATCTTCAACTGCGACTTCGAGCACCTGCCGCCGCCTGGCAAGGTGTGCGACGTGGACGTCCGCGGCTGGGACCCCTGCATGGAGGAGAACCACTTCTCCTACCACAAGTCCTCGCCCTGCATCTTCCTCAAGCTCAATAGGTAAAAGGTTTTTTGCAATTAGGCTTTTAAAAAAAGTGCTAAACTTCAAAAGTGTCGTTTTCCCTTTCATTTTTTTGACAGTGACAGCACTTACCGATAAAAGGACGCCATTTTTTACTTACTAAAGCCCGGTCTCCGAGCACGTAGAATTTTGTCCAATGACCCCAAGTTAAGTTACCCATCTTTATCGCTCGAGCGTAATTATGTTGCTGTCTGCTGCTGCTGCGGGCGCCCGTCGCACAGTCGCGACAGCAATATAATTACGCGCGAGCGATAAGGATGGGTACCTTGGGTTCATTGGACGAAATTCTACGCACAGATCAGAGAGATTTTACGTGCTCGGCGATTGCTAGCGCTATTTTTCGCCAAATGTTTTCAACGAAAACGCGGCAGTTACAGCTTTGTTTCTTTTGCGCCATCTACCTTAATTATCAGCAGTTTTCGAGTTCTGCCAATGCAGCAGTGTAGGAAGACGAGCCTACTAAATGGTAGAGCAAAAAAAAAACAATGCGATATGTAAAGGTTCCATAAAAGAACAAAGCGGACGATTTGCAGGTACTAATTTTAGGCCAACCAAAAGACATAATTGATGTGATTTATGTTGTTCTTCAGGATATACGGCTGGCGGCCGGAGCTGTACAATGACACGACGCGGCTGCCGCACGACATGCCGGCCGACCTCCAATGGCACATCAGAAACCTCACCAGCTACAACAGGAACTATGTCAGTATAGTTATATTAATTAAAGCCGCGAAAGAATGTCTAGGCCGTCTAGCTCGGACAATAACTCGCAGTTCCGTCCCAAAGACTTTGGGAGGACACCGTCAGGTTTTAGTGAGTAGGCCCTGCCCATCTGGCAGGGAGAGCCTCACATAACCCACTGGTTCCCCCGGGCCAGTGGGTATGCAATTTCATGCATTTCCTGACGAAAAAAAAACATATTAATTAAAACTGTGACACATACGTCATATTATTATTTTGAGCGATTTTGTACGGGTTTGACGCAGACCGTTCCATTCAGATTTCGTCACGAATTCAAAAATGGTCAAATTCGCATTCGGTGCCTTTCGCCTTTGGTCACATATGCATTCGATTCCAATCGCATTATTCGCATTTGGTCCCATTCGCAAAATGGTCACACTCAGATAAAACATTTTCAACTTACAAGTTGAACTATTGTTTAAAAAATAGTAGGCTTTAACTGAGATGGAGGCACACTCAGATAGAGTGTGACCATTTTGCGAATGGGATAAAAATGCGAATGGGACAGAAATGACTTCTGACGTAATCCTTACAAGCTGAGACTTCTTCACACGTTAAAGGCTTAATTTTTTCCCAGGCTAACATGGTGTGGGTGACGTGCTACGGCGAAACGCCCGCGGATCAAGAAAACATCGGGCCCATCAAGTACTTCCCCTACCCCGGCTTCCCTGGATACTTTTACCCGTATGAAAACGCCGAGGGGTACCTCAGTCCTCTAGTCGCTATACACTTGGAGAGGCCTAAGAGTAAGTACACACTGACAATGTTCTGTTTTGCATAATATTAATCCAAAATCCAAATTGCGCATCGGGAAGAACTAAATTGTCCTATCTTTAATAGAATTCATAAGAGGAATTAGTTCTTCCCCGTTGTTGTTTTTCTCGCTTACGAGAGTATCCTATTGCGAGTAACAGAGGGAGAGAAGGCCGAAATTATGATATTAGCCTATACTAATAACTAAACCATTTTCTTTTCGTTCGTGACACCCAAAACACGTCTACTACTAGTCAAAGGCCTTCCTAATTGATTTCCACAACAATTGGTTCTGTGCTGCTTTCAAGTGTTTCTNGTGTTTCTCGCTACCTTCACACACCGCTTCTGCGCTACCTCTCTGACTACACTACGTCATAGATGACGCCATCAGTTCTACGCACTATGTGCCCCGCCCTTTGCCTCTTATGTTTGGCAATTCTGCGGGCTACGTTTTTTTTTATCCACAACGAGGAAGCTCTTGGCCTGTATCTCACCTGGATGGTAAGTGATGATCAGGCCGAAGGTGGAAGCGAGCTTCACTCGGAATCCTCAACCACGGAGGAACTGGCTATCTTACCTCTAACTGCCGGAACAAAACAATGCTGTTAACATTGTTGTTATGGCGACAGACTTAGGTAAGATGGTGGTAGCTAGCCAGGCGGACTTAGAACAAGCCCTACCACCAACAAAATCCTCCGTTTACGGTCAAAAATCACAAAAACACTGCTGTGTGTATCATAATTCTAACCAAATCCATTTGTTGCAGCGGGCATAGTCATAAACATAGAATGCCGGGCGTGGGCCAAAAACATCATATACAACAGGAAAGAGCGACTGGGCGTCGTGCACTTTGAACTCATGATTGAGTAAACCAGTCGTACGGAGGTCTTAGAAAAGACCGACAAAAGACCGTCTCTTTTGGTAACTATGTACAGTATCCAAGTGAGTTTCATGTTTTTAATGTAGTTTAGTTAGTTTTTGAGATGGTCTACTGAATCACCATATTTTTATTTGTGCGTTAAACCTACCGAAACTGCCTTTTTAGTAGACCAAATCGAATGTTGCCAGAAAGACTTGATTTGAGAATCTCTAGACAGCTTGAATATTTTTTGCATTTTATACGCATTCATAGATATAAGCAACATAGAGTAAATACAATTATTAATTATTTATATCAAGTGAAGTCTGCATAAACTCTGATTTTTATTCAAGTAATTTTACAATTCTTGTTAAAATAAGTCGTCAAAAATCGAATGGTTTTTTTTAAACTAAATAATGAGCAAAATGAGCCAACCTCATAGAGTATGAAATAGTGTTAATTTGCTATAATCAAAATATTGGAAATCTCAGAATAATGATAAAATGTATTATAAACAGATTCTTGACATGACAATTTTTAGTTTTAGTTTTAATAAATTAAACATTTCCGTCCAAAATAAATGACTTACTTAACCGTGTTTAGATTAAATACATAATGTATATTATGGTAAAACTATAATGTGTCTGTACACACTGATTGTGTAATCTATGTTGAGATCTGAACATTTATTTGCTCTTTTTCGAACTTATTTGAATCTCTTATATCACTTTTTTATACCAGTGTATGTATGTACCGTACAGTATATTTTCTATGTACAGTTGAATGATATTAGTAAAATAGTGACCCAGATGTAGTTTTAAGACTGAAGACTAAATAAGGACTTAATAACTATTATATTTTTATAGGTAGCTGACTTAGTAATGATCCATTTATACACTTTCATTTATCAGCCAGGTGCAAAAATGAGTACTTACTTATTAAAAATTCTGTAAAATAATTGGGCCAATTTTGGTTATAAAATGATATGATTAATTTTGCACTTGATTGACTTAATTGTGCCTTTTATACTATTGTATTTAAATTATCTATTGCATTTATACTTTTAAAATGACTGCATATTTTCTTATTATATTTTAAGTATCCATTTCTACTTAATGTCTCTTACTTATTATATTATTTTATAATTATCTTACAATATTTCCGTTTGAGAAATCTCGCGTATTTGATACTGAATCTATTGAAAATAACATGATATTCTAAAATTCTAAATAATGTTTAATAATAATACTAGAATGGAAGTATGTAATGCATCTCAATTTTCATAGAATTCATGAATTTATCTACAAATCTTGCGTTCTTTAAAAACTGTACCTACATATTTCTGTTTATATTAAGTAAAAACAGGCATATCTATTTTAGTTTAAGAATATTTTTTATAACTTTTTCGTTAATTATCTGTACGATTAGAACCTCAAATGTTAACTAATCCGTCCTGGAGATGAGTCTCGAATGTACTTTGTAAGTGTAATATCAATGTGTGCCTTTAAAATGATAAATAAAAGACAATTACAATACACACAATTATAGTTTTTTTTAGCTTAAAACCACAATGTCACGGAAAATCATTGATTAGAATGATGCTATGGTAAGTCCATACACATCTAAAAGGAATTGCTAAATAATTGCATTTTAAACATTACAAGGATGTACAGTCAGCGTCAAATACTTAGTTCGTGACACCTAAAATAGTCAATAAGTTGGGAACACGTCTTTATTCAATTGGATAAGGTTGTATCATCAACTTATTGACCACTTGGGTGTCACGAAGACGAACTATTTGAAGATGTCTGTACTGAACTTTAAAATGTAGCATAAGTACAATCAACAGTAAAATCTGTTAATTTGTAATTATATGTGATAAGGAATAAAATAAATTGATTACACTTCCATAAATAAATGTTACATTAGCAGGACACAAGTGTGACGTAACAACTGGCCATATAAATGAGCTCGCCTGCTATTCACGTGTGGGTACAGTTGATGGCATATTCAAGTTCGCCCTAACCGCTATTGTGACGAGAAAAATATGCTAATGTGTTCGACTGTATCCCTCAAGGTGGGAATAAAAAATCTGTGTTTACGTCCCGAGCTTCGCACGTGCGTGCGCGCAGACAGACAGAGTTGGTTAAGCGTCAGTTGCACGCAGCGCGCCGCGGGGGACGGACGTCCTTGTGTTTTATTTCCCTTCGCGATGACCACTAAACCGAGTTTGGAGTCGGATTGGGCGCGAGCTCCTCCGCCCTCGGGCCCGGCGTGGAGGCAGATCGCCCACGCTTTGTACAACCCGGAGGAGAAAAGCTTCTTAGGGCGGACGCCCAAGCGGTGGGGTAAGTCGGTATACAGATGTTTCCAGATCTAAATTAGGAACGGAGTTTGTAAAAAAAACAGTTCTACACCAAAAGTTCAGATGTCATTAGCATGGACCGATAATTTTAATACTCTTCAGAACTAACTCTTGAAAGTTGTTTACCATAACCATACCTATTTCATTTACCTATACCAAAATAGAATTGAAAATTTTCCTTTTATCGAGAAAGCTATGTAGGTAATTATTGTCATTATTATTCCAAGTTGTAGGAAGTGTTACAAGTATGTACAAACCATCCAAATTGATTACTAGTTGAAATATTTCAATATCTCTGTCACTCATTTCCAGTGCATTGGTAATCTGACTCCGCTTAGATGGTAGAAATCTGAGCACGTATCACAATCATACTCATGCACACACAGAATTGCATACAAAATTGTGGCTAGAAGGTAGGATACCCAGTAAAAATTAATAACTTATAGTTATAAAATAATATAGTTTAGCTACATAAGTATGATTAGATTACGCGTGTTCTGCGTGTAGAAGGATAAATGCAGTTGTAGGATCATAGATTACATTTTAATGACCATTGTGTTCATTCATAAATTCATGCATTTTATTAATTTAACCTTTACTGAATAGGTATAAGATCTACTTAGCAACGCATGCAGTATAAAGTAAATGTAAACATGTTTTATCAGTTTAAATAAGTAATGAATTTTCACGTAGGTAAGTCTATATTACTTACTTTCATAACTCCTAACTCGTTTGAGCATCTTACCTTTTTTAATTACTCGTGCTCCACCTGACCAAACCTCAGTACCTCTAGCATGAACAACTTTCGTCTTCGAATCGTTTGCGTATTCAACAAAAGTCTATATTCAACCTTCGAATTAAACGATAAACGATAAATAACGTGACCATTTTGATTGTCAAAATAAGTTTAGTGCAACCATTTCTCATACTAAGTTCACTTAACGACACGTTCACAAGGGCGCTGTTTTAGTTTTCGTACTAAATCTTTAAATGGCGATTCGAATACGCAAGCGATTCGAAGTCGAAAGTTTTTCATGCTAGAGGTACTGGCCCACATTATAATAAGACCCTTCAAGGAGCCGTCAAATTTAATAGATCATAACGATAACGATAATTAATCTATGGGGTTTATCTCGAGGCCATATCGTAACTGAAGAACTTTTGATAGGAATTGAGTAAGTAAGACGAAATGAGGGTTTTCGCGAATGAAAAATCCGCTAGATGGCAATACGTAGACGCGAGGTCCAAATGCTGCATGATTGGTTATTTTTGACATGACATTGACAGATATGTCAAAAATATTTAAAAGCGGTCCAGTAGTTTTTGAGCCTATTCATTACAACCAAACAAACAAACAATTTTATACTATACTAGCTAATTTCATCGAAATCTGTTCAGTTGCCATGTTAAGCCTTTCGCTTTGACTTATTTCTGCTTCTCCAAACGTAAAAAACTTTACTATTTTATTACTAGACTCGTCCAAGAGACCAAAGGCTTTGAGTAAATCTTCTGTTTCAAAGATAAGATTAATCTTCAGCTCTTTAATTAATTAGGATATCTTAGTCGCTAATAACTATAGTTTGCTGTATGATTCTCCTAAGCGGTCGCTAATGGTATACGTTTAGATTTCCGTGCTAGAAACAATTAGTACAAATAACACTGACCCAGTTCAAACTGCATTTGAGCAATTTGTTTTACTAAACGCTACTAAAAAGAAGAATGCAGTTTCTCAAGTCTTTGTAAATCTGTTTCCTGAAAGTATTTATTTTACGATCGGTTTATTCATGCACACTTTTTGTATGCTACCGAAATCGAACCCGCGACCTTTGGCATAGCAATGAGAGCGATCCGGTACCTAAGACTGCCCAGTACCGAGTCAATGGCCGTCAAATGTAGAAAAAAACCAAGTCCCCCTGATGACTCGGCGATATTTTAACCCGTTTCCTACCGTCTAAGACCCCCTGCATCCCGTCGTCGCTCAATGCCGAGGGAGTGGAAAAAACCATAAATGTCTGACCTGGCCTTGTGTCTGCTAAGGCAATCTTAGGAACATGTCCCATTCTGAATACAGATATCTTATTCATGAATAGAATAAGTTTGAGTTTGTTATTTTGAATCTATAGGACATACTGACATTCACAATAATGAAGCTGAAAACTTATACATAGGTTTACTGACTGTTTTGTTTCTTTTGCTTAATTCGATTGAGAGAAGAGGCAAATTGATAAAATGATGATATCAATAATTTAACTATACCTAACATTTTATTGATTGATGTTCTCATATAAAATGTTAATCAAGATTTTAACGATTTTATTGAACTTTGGCTTCTGTACTATAAGTTTGTTCAACAGTTATGAATGTTACGTTAGCTAAGCCAGTATATTTACTTAAATGAACAATGGTTCTGCAAATGTTTGATAAAATTATCTACTGAGAACTGTAAAGACACAACAAAGATTAACGTGACTTTATTTGCAGTGGTAAGGTTGTGATTGTTATGATAATCCTACTAGAATTGAGGGCGAAGGTTTATGTAAATAAGGTACGAAACTAAGTAGGTATTCCCAACTCTCTTCATACCTACTGCTGCACTGCAACTCCTGTGGAGCCAGGATCTTGGTCGCTAGTAAAAACTTATCAATGAAGGTCAAGTTAAATGCAAGCATAATTCGGTGTATTCTACGTATAAATACGATTTGTACTTAATCTGTTTTTCATCACAAGTATTTCTGTAGCCTGTAACAGACTGAAATACGAGTACCTATTTAAGCGATACTTATTAATAATAATTAGCATGCAAACACCTTGATATGGACACTTGAACATATAGAGAGAAAGAAAATTGTATTATTATGACCTAACATCACAGACACAGGTGATAAAAGTAATTAAAACATTAAAAAACGAATGTACAAACAAATTAATGCCACCAAAATTATCGCTATCCCGATGTTAAAATAAAATCGACCTCAATCAGCATTATGTTGCCAGGTTGCCACCCTTCAGTGCCGTAGGCCATGACCCTAGTTTTGGTCGCAATTTCAAGACGTGATAGTCACATGGATAGATAATAAAATAAACATAACACTTAGAAATAGTTAAAAGAAATAAAATTGGTTAGTTTATAAAAAAATCTGAGCAAATTGTATAAAAATTAAATACGTAAACATGATTTAATTTCCTTCTCTGCAGTAAAATCAAGAAACCTACAAATTCCGCGTCTAGTCTGTTCTTACAGTTATTGATGGATCAGTGAGGTCATATCCACTCTGGAGTGTAGGGCAAAGGGCCAAATCTGCACTCGTCCACTTTCGTGGGATGAATCCACAACCGCAACTGTTCTTGGCCTTGTCTGGAGCAGTTATTAATATCTAATTGTCCGATGGTAATTAATAAACTAAACAGGCGATTACAGTTCTAGTTCATGAAATCGTAAGAGCGCTTTCACATTAGGGCGTTAGTTTTTGTAATGTGAAGGGAGGCATCAACTGTCACATAAGTAGTATGAAATTTTCGGCAGCGCGTTTGTCGCGCGTTATTCGCGCTGCTAAATCGCCTAAATGTGAAGGCGCTCTAATACGGTAAAAATCAGTGAATCGATTTTAAACGAATCGTATTCGTAGCCGTATGTAAAGTAGGAATTTCGTGCAAAGTCTCATAAAGGAGCCATATTCTGTGAATAATTTACCCTACATAAATACATTTAAATCCAAGCCTCAGGGGTCGCCCCACTACCAACTAGTTTTTGCATTTCAAAGCCGATATAACAAAGCGTTTCACATCAAAATACGATAAACCCGTCCTCGACACGATGGCCATACATCCCATACACTGGATCCCTCCATACAAATCTGTATTCATCAGTCCCCTCAATAGCTTTGTCGTTTCAAGGGCATTCGTTTCACATGGATTCACATGCGTATACGATTGATGACTGAAAATTTGTTGGATAAAGCTGAGAAACTTGCTAAAATAAAATCCCTTATTAATTTCAGACCTTCAGTGCCATAGACAGGTGATTTCAATTCTATTTATGTAATTATAACATTATACAAGCTTAAAAGCTTTCTTGGCTTTTTTTTCAGGTCTTTGTGTTTAGATAAAAAAAATAAACTGAAAATACCTCATGCAATGACTTTTCTTTCAGCGTTGTTGTTGGAAACATTTGCAATGTTTTGCAACATAATTATAGTGGTCTTTCGTTGTTAGAACCAAAGGAATAAAATTATTCAGAACTTCTTATATTTATCACTTTCTGTATACTCGACTCGTCGTAGACTAGTGATGGTAGTTACTGAAATAGGTTTTTAGTGGATCCATAGTTGATTGACAGGTCTGCAGTTAGGTACTGAAAACGTTTTAAAGCTTTAACCACACCAACGCGTGCAAATCGCAGTCGCCGGCGCGATCAGGGCCAATGACAGGTCGCGCGACCCTTGACAGTTCACGCGACCTGTCATTTCCCTATGATCGCACCGTGATCGCGCCGGCTATGGCGATCTGCACGCGTTGGTGTGGTTGAAGTTCTTATATAGACATATTATAGGCACAGATTTACTATTAGTCTACATGCCTATCTAGCACAGGACGTGAGCGCGCACGCAAGCTATAAAACAACACTAAACCAACGGAAGCCGCCACTCGCGCCACAAACTAACAGCGGCCACATTTTTAATTAATTCGTCCGTTAGCGAAAGGTGTCCAAGGTAACCCATTAGTGCGTCCCGCTTTTTGTAATGGAATTTTCTTCTTCAGAATTTTAAAGAATGAAACTTTAAATTGCTACGTGAAGTCTTCCCCTTTTCTTTTGAAGATAAAGATAAAGATAAAGATACATTTATTTGTTCAACAATGTCCTTGTTTGTCTATGTTGAGCTGTTCTTGTTTCACTTACACGTATCTATTAGAGAAATGGGTGATGTCTGTTGTTCTTAGTTGTAATTCCGGTGAGCTTTTATAATCTGGCAAACTCCTACAGTT